TAATATAGTTGGCTACATGAGTTCAAACCTTTTGGAGGCATCCTTTTGTTTCCAAGTGTAAAGTTTACTTCACAAACTAAATTTAATTCTGAATAAACTTATTATTAATTCAGTTATAAAGTCATTTATTAGTTATAATAAGTATGTTTTAGGACTTAAGAACATCCAAAACAAAATAATAATTGAAAATATGCAAACTTTAAAAATGTTGACAATGTCATTATTTTGATACAGTTATGATACTTCATGGGACAATTGCAATATATTAGGGTTAAAGTTATTTTAATGCAGTCCTATATGGTTATTAGAATGTCATTGTTTACCAGCCCTTCCCCCTGCTCCCGCTTCCTTAGAAGCTCAAGAATGAAATTCATTGTCAATATATAAGTAAGAAAGCAATTGAAAAATGGGTATATTTTGTTTAATACAAATACAGCAATTGTTCTTTGATTGGCATATTAAATCACATTTATTCATTTTAAAATATTTGTGTTATCTGTGTGGCAATGAAATGAAGAATTGGTCTTTGAGATCTGTTAATTAAGTCATTTGAATAACTAATTGGTACAAATTTAAGTTAAATCACTAGCTACAACATTATCAGAAATATATTTTTATTTATATGTTTTCCTTTATATGTATTGATGATTTGTAGTAAAATTTTCATCTTGCTGTAAGTAACATATATTTCATCAGTTTTAAAAAGTACATGAATATCAAAAGATATGAACTATGTGTATGTTCTTATAATACATTATTTCTTTAAGTTAATTGCAACATTGGGTGGCACTGTTTAAGTTACATATAAACAAAACTGATAATAGTAATTTGTTCTTCAACTTCTTGTACTACACTCACTGTCAGGTAGTATTAAAGATTTAATAATGTAAACATGTGCACTTCTGAGTCTGTCAGTTGCAAAGTTAAATCCTTGCTTTGTAATGTTGATATGCAATCAGGGTGTTTTTCCAAGATTTATGGAACATGACCCATACCTATGGAATTGGGAATTTTAGCAATGTTTTTTTTTTTTAATTGGGAAAAAATGCATGCCTTAAATTTTGCAATGATTAAATGAATGCAAAGAATAGCTCTCTCTAGGATGGCATCTTCAAACATTAAAGCACCATATTAGTGAAGAAGCCCTTATTTTCAAATATTTCAGTATTTGTTATTCAATTTTTTCATTTTATAACTTTCAATTCAATGGGAATTTTTCTTGTGGATTGGGAAAATAATAAACGATTTTCAATTGGGAATATGACCGAATATCGGCTATAAAATAAGCCAAAAAAATCCCAGGCAATTTACATATTATAAACATGTGTATACTTTATACTGACATGGTGTATATGTTAATTATGCCAAATAATAGTAAAATTATATATATGCATTTAAAAATGACCATGCAATTTAATGAGTTTTAATTGACTTTCAATCCAGTTCAGTATCATATGATAATTGATTTAACCATAATCTTTATTAAATACTTACAAATAAATTGTATCCAAGGGAATAGTAATGGCCCTGTTTAAATCCTCAACAGAACTAAACCTATATGGGTTATTGGAGCAATCAACCTTCCGACCCTTTGTATCTTGAGGCATGCCCAGTTCATCCGCCTCGGGTCCCTCAGCATCACCTGCAGCATCATCACCTTCCGCTGAATTCTCACTTTTTTCGGGAATTGTGGTGCATGTGCAGCCAGATGAGCATGCCTGGGTCAGAGGGATTTTGTTTTGGAAGATCAGAAGAATTGTCAGAAATGTGTGAAATACACAAATCTGCAAAACATTCATTTTGCACTCAGTAAGTATTCATACTTTTGTTTTAATGATCACAAAAAATGCAATCAAACCATTGATGAAAGAAATTAATTTATAATAACTCCTCACACTTGCATTATTGTATTAGCGTCGGTGCATCCCTTTGATGTCCTGCGGCGTCTTTGGTCTTTAGAATCAAGACATTACTCATTCAAACTTCTGATATTTTTTTTGTAAAATCACATATTATTTCACTTTTGAAATTTAATTTACAACAAAACTATTGACATTACGCAGTTTATGAAGCAAACTTTTGAATTAAAATCATAAAAGATACGATAATAAAATTTTGACAGGGTGCTTGTTACGAAGATTTCTTTTGCAAGACAAACATTCGCGATTTACGGTATTTTCCTCACTATCATCCTGTTATTTTATATCCAGCAAGATTTATAAATTAATAAACTTAACACAGAAATATATGTTTACTCCCTAAAATGTAACAGTGAAGTGTAATTCACAAAATCCAGTGCATTTCAATTAATCTGACGGTGGCCGACATCTTGCCGTTTCAGTTTACGTGTGACGTCACGGGATTCTATTTATAGAAAGGATCTTTCCATCAGATACAGTACAGTCTCAAAAGTTTCTTTACACCACCGCAAATAAAACACATGGATTATCAAAAGGCGTGAAAAAGGCTAGATCTATGATTAATAATTTGTATAAATTTGTTCCTTTCCTATGCAAAAATGCCGCATTGTCATAACAACTTCGGCTTTAATTGAATTATTATTTATAAATTTGCAGACAGAAAGAAATCATGATAATTCTGTTAACTCCAACGATATAAAATTCCGAAAATTTTCTTTTCCTAATGATCGTTTCTCGTCCATTACACCGTTTCTTGATCTCTTACTTTCGTATGGAAAACATCAAGTTAAATCGTGCCATAAATCTAAAATAGAGGTGTACTGTATGCACAGCTATATTATATAACTCTTTGATGTATGCAGCATGACTGTTCGACATTGCAATAAACTTGAATTGGTTTTGGCCCTTACCCTGATGACCTTGTATAAAATTATATATATGTTGTCTATGCTTATCAAGGGCCCATCACAAAATGCAGCTTCTGCTGTCGACTATGGAAATTACCGCGGTGCAATTTCCACCTAGTATTAGCCAAATATCTGTATTCTGAGCCAAATGAAGGTCGCTGTACAGTGGTCAATGAGCACCTTAGAAACGTATAGTTTCATTAGACAATATGAAAGAAAATGTGGGTATATCAATATGAAAATTAAGATGATATTAAACAGCCAACAGTATAACGCCTGGTCAGACAACATGTACGTGCTTTTTGGCTTGCAGCCACGGCTGCAAGCCATTTCATTTGGAAAACCTGTTCCGGTGAGGTGGTTTTCTGCTTACATTTATAAGTGCATGATTGAACGGGAAACCTGCTGAAATCGTGCCAATCGCAACTTTTCGGCCTTTTCCGTCACGCTTCGGATTAATGATAATAGCCGATGTACTTCCGATTGCAATCGTGACAATTCGGGCGATTCCGTCATACTGCGGAATCAGACGAAGTAATATTACGGAAATCTAAGCTATTTTAGTAATTTCGGTAATCCCAGTTTGTTTATATAAATAGGATTCGTATTTTTACTTGATTTATTGATTTAAACCGTAATAAATTAGCCTATAAACGAAATTGTTCCGTTTCAATTCTTTTTCAAGACGCAAAAGTTAGTTCTTTTATAATTGTTTTTTGTCTGTATTAGTTTTACACAATAGAGGATGTTGACTGTAGTAGTATTCCGTCTTCAAAGGGTGGTCCAAATCACACAGTGCATGATCGAGTTATATTTAGATCTACTGAACTTGGTGAGGTAATCTAAAAATAGCCCATGCATATCATTAACCTTACCACGTGATGATTTATAGATAGCGCATCGTATCTGGGAACATGCTTATTAATTAAATGAAATGTGCACACTTGTTTCCTTTCAGTATGATAGATCTTCACGTTAGCATTTTTACGATTGATTATTTTCTTTATTAGTTTTATACAATAGAGAAAAGATTTCAAATCGTTTTGACAAAAATATTCGTTTTTACAAAAATAAAAACAAATAAATATGTTGGGATGAAGGCACAACTGTGCAAGCCTTTCCTTTTAAAAGGAAACTTTATTACAATACGATATTTCCATAGAAACGGAAGTACAATTTCGCGCATGCGCATTCTGCGTAGGACAAAAAGTAACAACGAAAGAATTACTGACAATACTTCATTAATAAAATGAAATAGTTTGTTGAACGTGCACTATTCTATAACAATACCTCCCAAATAAGTAAAATGAAAGCGAAAATCTGTTTGTGAATATATTATAATCATATTGTTTTATACACCAAATAAGCGCTCTTTTTTTTCAGAGTACGAAAAAGGTTGTACTCGATTGAATAGTGCGTTATATGTCAAGTAAAATCCTTAATGCTATCGGGCACATCTCACTGCGTTGCAATCGAATCCACTGTCGTCTACGTTGTAATCAATTTTGACATTTTCCAAAAGTTCCAAAATATGGTTGTTTTGTGCAAGTATCATGCATACGATCCGATGCCGGTGTAATAATGGGTCGTTTTGCACACATTTGTACGTGTTTTAACCAACATTAGGCTAAAGTGAAGTCCCCTCGTTAAACTGTACAGACGTGTTTGCCTAAAATTTGCAATGAATTGCACCGTACGTGTAGGTGTTTCCAGTAAAGCATTGAACAATAAAGTAAAATTCAGTCATAAACTTATCGACAACAGCAAACGGCCATATTTTATCCACCGCTTCTGCGACGAATACTTAAACGTCGCGATGGATCCACAGCTTTTGCCAGTGTGGCTGATTTTTCATAGTAACGGACCTCGTATATTGGTTGCAAGGACTAACCACTTTCGGTTCCGGCAGGTTAAGGGTTAACTGGAAATGCGTTCGGGCATTTAAAAAAAAAAGAGTTATGAAAATTAAATTATCAATATAACAGAGGAATTAGAGAAAACAAAAATCAACTATCAGTACTTTAGAAGTGTATCCGAGGTTGAATTCATAAGCTAACTTCATTAAGCTTTAAGATCTATCAACAGTTGCAGAGACTACTGAATTATTTAATTAGATTATTTACATTATTATAACTTTTATTTATATATTCAGAGTCATGCACACGTATGTGTACATAGTTGTATATAAATATGTACGCAGCATCTACTTAAGCGTTATTCAAAGTAAAATTTGTGCTTGAAATGGAACTGCCGACTCGTAAGGAAGTTCACGTGCCTCTGCGGATATATAAAGGCACGTGTGTGTTTGACCCGTGCGAAACTGAAGCCATTCAATCCATGTCAGTCTATGATGATGACGTTTGGGTTCTTACTTTCCCGCGATCAGGTATTCTTTTCAGATAATCTTATACAAGTTTTGTTTAAATCATAAAATAAGATTAATTTTAAAACACTAAGAGGCAAAGTTAATGCATGTAATCGCGTCAATGACCAGTATCAGAAGCTTACAAATAAAATCAGTTCTGCACAAGGGGTTATGATTTATGATTAGATATGTTAAAAGGCCTATTAAGCTTGAAAAAATTCTATCGTTGGTATTTTTTCACTCCGTTTATATTTTACTACATCTCACTTTCAACGCTATTTTTAAAGGTTAGAAACATTCCACATGTTCTAAATTCATATTTAAAACATTTTAAAAAACATGTTCGCCCGTTTTACAGAAGAAAAAAAAAGATTTCTAATTGGTAATGTGCCTTTTAATTGATAGGTACAACTGTTGTACAAGAGATTGTGTACTTGCTAATGACGAAGTTGGACTTCAAAACAGCAAATTCATCTCCTCTTGACAAGCGTTTTCCATTTCTGGATTTAGTTCTTCCCGACATGCCGTATTTTCGCGGATTGAAAGGCGTCGAAGAACAAAGTCAACCACGTCTGATAAAATCCCATCTACATTACAAAGTATTGCCAGAGAGTTTGTACAAGAGTCAATGTAAGGTACAGTAATATGGTGCTAACCTTTGAAACCTTCAGCAGGAACGTTTATTATACATTATGTTATGATAAACATCCCCGCCTTCAGAAAGCGCATATATTTTATAGTCCGGTTTGATCAAGCGTGACGAATATTATACCCAAAACAAGCGAATTTCGCTCAATATGTTAACGAAGACCATACGCATGATGCTGGCCTTACTGACTGTAGGAGACACGACATTGTCCTTATCATCAGGGCCTTACATTTTGCATAAGTTTTCATTGAAATCAATTACATATGAGTGTTTCCTGTTTACGAACAACAAGTTGGGAGAAAACAGCAACACCGTAACCAAAATAAAACCAACTGAGCCTATTTTACTGGCTATTTCTTCTAGTATTATCATTATACTACATAACAAGGTGAACGTCTCAAATAATAAAGTTTTGAAGATGCACCAAAAAATGTAACTACATGCAATTAGTGTATTTGACCTAATTTGTTTTTCTTGTTCTTGATATATTTATTATTTTAATTCTTCCACTATAGTTATCTTCTTTAACATGTACATTGTGCGCACAGAGTTGATATGCATGTGCATTGTGTTTTGTTTAGTTAGATTGTCAGAATATTTTTTGTCATCTCGATGCATGATAATTAGATGGTACAAAAGGCAATCCAAAATTGTTACGAACTCAACTTTCAGGATGCATTTGACGATACGTGTACACATTTTACAGATTAAATAATTTCTTAGTTTACTTTTTAGGCGACTTTTATTATATTTTCTTTACTCCCCAGAAAATCTATGTGATGAGCATTATATTTTCTTAACTTCTTAATTTTTTTTAACTTCCACAGAAAATCTATGTGTTTCGAAACTTCCTCAGAAAATATATGTGATGCGGATTTTATTTTCTTTACTTCCTCAGAAAATCTATGTGATGCGGAACCCGAAAGACGTGTTTGTGTCAGGGTACATGCTGACTCAGTTTTTCAATCAGTTGGAGTCTGATGTTACCATGAAAACCTACCTGGATGACTGGCTTGATGGCAAGGGTAAACATTTTGTAGTACACTACACTTGCAAAATTCAAAAGCTTGCATACATACTAGAGCATTGTTTCTATTTAATCGTCTCATCAAGCGAATTTCATTGCCAGCATTTAGAGAGTTATCCATCTAAAGTCTTAATCTGTGACTGTTTAATACAATACTAGTGTATAACGAAGCTTAAGACGTTCATCATTGAAAAACTCTACAAAACTAAAAGACAGTTAAATGGGCTGTTAAAAAATTCATAAGAAATGATCTTTTAAAATAAAAATTTTGCTGATTTCAAATTACAGGTATTTTAATGGGAAAAAGGAAATGTGATGGATTAAAAACACGCTTGTTTCGATACTTAGCCAATCATGAAGATATTTACAGTTATTACTCTAATATTCTGTTTTATGTCTTATGTAGTGTACAACACACCTTGGTGGCTACATGTTCGTGCTTTTTGGGAAAACAGGAACGAGATCAACAATATATTATACCTTAAATACGAGGATATCGTAAAGGTAGGTAGATAGCATAAGGCAGACATCATCAAAATAGGTCATTTACACTTTCAGAGCATCTTCAAGGTTGGTAGATGTTTCCATAACATCGGCTCTTCGGGGTACGATGATGTTATGACGATGACATCATCAACTTAGGAAGGTTTTATAACGAGGACTTCTTCATAGTAAACTAAAACTGAGGACATCTTCAACGTAGATATACAACGAAGGTAATTTGACAAAGGCAAGGTAAGGTAAGTTGAAACAACTGCGAGGACACCGTCAAGTTCGGTAGATTACTTTTAGGGGACATCGACAAGTTAGGTAGATTACTTTTAGGGGACATCGTCAAGTTCGGTAGATTACTTTTAGGGGACATCGACAAGACAGGTAACTAACACTTTGGGAACATCGTCAAGTTCGGTAGATTACTTTTAGGGGACATCGACAAGACAGGTAACTAACACTTTGGGGCCATCGACAAGTTAGGTAGATTACTTTTAGGGGACATCGTCAAGACAGGTAACTAACACTTTGGGGACATTGGCAAGTTAGGTAAGTAACATTTCGAGGACATCGTCAGGTTAGTTAGATTATACTTAGGGGACATCGTAAAGTTGCGTTGATTACACTTCGGGGACATTGTCAAGTTAGGTAGATAACACGACAAAGACATCGTCAAGTTATGAAGTTTAACCTTTGGGGAAATCTTCAAGGTAGGTGAAAAACATTAGGAGGACATTCTCACAATCGTCATCTGGTAGACAATAAAACGAGGAAATCAGCAAGGAATGTATTCGTTAACTCTAACATTGTGTTTGATTTTTTGAAAAGGAATCCAGCTAAATCCAGAACCGTAAATATTTTTTATAGTTTGATACCATTCCTCAATGTGTCCCTCAATTTTTAACGAGTTAGTGTTGTGAAACAACAATGCTGCAACCATATATTCTTTATCAAAGTTTCACAAAATATATTTTAGTAACCAAATGAGAATGATGAATTATTATGTTAAGACGCAAACCCTTGCTAAATGTAACAAATATTTACTCAGTTTTACATAATCAGTGAACTAGTATTTAAATAAGTCGTACAGTCAAATTATACAAATTATATCTTTCAATTCAATATCACGGGGGAGGAAGTGTTACACGAAGGATGGAGTTCTTATGATAACTTGTTTGGAGTTCTTATGATAACTGTCACGGAGTTCCTGGAAAACGTTACGGATTTCTGTGGAAAACTTTTCTATATACTTGGAGAACTCATGTAAAAAATGGTCATTTTTACCTTTAAATGGGGAGTTTGAGGTGCTAAATTAAACTTTGATAATTAAGCTTGCTCTACATATTGTATAATATTTCAGAAAAACCTTTTAGTCCATTTTTCATCGCCTTTTTAAAAAAAAATCTGGTAGTTTTGAGTAAAATTTCCAAATTACTTCTCATTCGTACATATTGACCTTTTCATTTGTGATCTTCTTCGTTGCTATACATAAATACATAATTGTAATGCAAAGTTGCAAACATAAAGCCCAAGCTAATAAATTTATACCCGATTTTTCAAATGTCACGAAGTTCTTGTGATAACTCAAAATATGTCCTGGAGTTCTTATGATAACTTTTGTTACTGCCAGTGTGTTTCTTGTGCTTAATTACGGCACATTTAAGCGTAGTTTATTAGTCAATAAGTGTGTAAATCATTAGAAGGCATAGTACGCGTATCATTTGCACACACATTTGGTTATATAACGTTGATTTTGAGCGTATTTCAGTTCAAGAGATATTTTTCTTACCACCGTTTCGTGTGGGTTTTTTGTTTTTCTTTGTGTTTTTTTCCCCATTTTATTGGAAGGACTGAAAACATACTTGATGACGAGCATTTACTTACAGGATAAAAATACGCTTTGCATTTAATATTTAAGCATGATTTCTTCATGTATACATTATTTCTGGCAGTTTTAGAGAACATTAAGTAATTATGCTATCGGTTTGCCGAAACAAATTACATGTAAATGGTTTGCAGCACAATAGGAAGTAGTATGTGTAGTATGTACTACCTTTATCTAAATTTAAAGAGGGGGCCGGGTGTCATCTTTAGGTATTCAATGGATATCTTAATTTCTAAAAGGTATCAATTTTGTCATAGAAACGTATAAAGTTCTATGAAAATGATATGACAATAGAAAGTAAGTTTTTTTTTTGTTTGTTTTGGGTTTTACGTCACATCGACACAGTATAGGTCATATCGCGACGTTCCAGCTTTACTGGCGGAGGAAGACCTCAGGTGCCCTTCCGTGCATTATTTCAGGCACGAACGGGTACCTGAGTAGAACCACCGACGTTCCGTAAGCTAGCTAAATAGCTTCCTCACATGAAAGAATCCAAAGTCCCTGTCGGGATTCGAACCCACAGCGGTGAGAAAGTAAGTCTTTAATAATATATGTGAGTCATAATAAGGTTCATGCCGTTTCTTTCTCTATTATATCAAATGAAGCATCACTTGACGTACAGAAATCTCAATATTGCGGAAAATTATTGCATACATTTTCTTATCAAAGTTGGGAGTCCTTCCCCCTAAATAATCCTAGTTGTGGAAACTTTTTCTGTAATTGACAACATAAATATATTGTCGAACTTCTTTCGCTCCAACCCGTAGAGCACGTGCAAATATGTTGAAGAGATCGATAGTAATCGGTTGATTTTTTATGTTTAAAAAAAGATCATACATTTCGGGTGCATGGGTGTGAAGGGTATCCCAGATATTTACTTGTTGTTTATGGTATAAATTGATACAAATTACTTAGCCGCTTCTTGAGGAAAGCCCAACTATATATTGTCTGCTTAAGAAAGGCGATTTGCTTAAAAACATGCGTAACTAAGAAAAAAGTTAAATTTTTTAACATTTTTTGCCTGGAGGGTTAAGCCATGTTTCTGCCTGAATACAGGTGCCGCTGGTTCAGTTTTTCCTTTGAAAGAATAGCCCATAATTTCACATGTTTAATCCTTTGTAGACTTGTTTCATGTTCAAAATCTTTTCTTAAAAAGGGGTTTGTTGAACAGCCGAAAATCCTTAAAAAAATTGAACCAGTTACCTAAAAATTTAACGGTGCACCACAAAGCTATAATACATTGTACCGCATAATTTAAATAACGTTTTCATAAATAATAACGATAAGCATGTCATTATGCGACTTATATAATTTTCTCTGGTTAGTGCTTGTAAATTCACGGTTTTTAACATTTCAAAGGAAACTTATGACATTTAAAAACTTTAATATACTCGTTACACAGAAAACATTTAGTGCAAATTCGTTCGGTTTTTTTAAATTGTAAATATAATTCGCCACAAATTTTATTAGAAAAATATCTTTTTAACTAAAACACGCTCAAAACCAACATTATATTACCTATTGTTGTGTTAGGCTGAGAGTATAAAGTTTCATGATAATTTAAACACTTATTAAATAATAAAATACGCGTAAACGTACCGTAATTAAGCACAAGAAACACGCTGGCAGTAACAAAAGTTATCATAAGAACTCCAGGACATATTTTGGGTTATCACAAGAACTCCGTGACATTTGAAAAATCGGGTATAAATTTATTAGCCTGGGCTTTATGTTTACAACTTTCCATTATCATTAGGTAATTAAGTATAGCAACGAAGGAGATCACAAATGAAAAGGTCAATATGTACGAATGAGCAAGTAATTTGGAAATTTTATTCAAAACTACCAGATTTTTTTTAAAAGGCGATGAAACAAGAGCTGTCCGTAAGACAGCGCGCTCGACTTTTTTATTGCTTGCCAATAAAAAAAGTTTTTGCAGTAAAAGGCAATACAAGAATCTCTGTATTTTTAAAGTGAACAATGGCCATGAGCATTAAGATATTTAGTGAAGAATTATTTTACTGAATTGTGTAACTTGTCCACCAATCAAATAGGCGAGATAAAATGTGAAATATGCATATACTACTGATTTTAATTTCAAGTACAAAAAGAGAAAAATAACTAGTTGTTTGATACCCTTGAATATTACAGCAATGTTTATATGACATAATTTATGGTAAAGTGAACAAGTGGATAGGAATGAATTTTTTTAGATTTTTTAAGTTTTTTAGTGCTTGCCTATAATACAAAACATTGACAGTTAAGGGCCATAATTCAAATAAAATCTTTGACAGAATTACCTTCTCCTGGACATGTTTGGGAATCATGATTGTAAACAAGTATTCCAACTTTCAAATTAATATCTCAAACAGTTCAGTCAAAAAGTGGACTGGTACTAAAAAACTTAACCAAGATTCTAAGTCGATAAAAGGCCTTAATTTTTAAAACAAATCCTTGACAGAGTTACCTTCTCTTGCGTACAGATGGGGGTAATGATGTGAAATAGAAATAAAAGTTTCAAAGCAATATCTCAAAGGGTTAAGGCAATAAGTGGATTTTACCCATATTCAATGTATTTTCTAAGTCAAAAAGGGGCATAATTCTGTCAAAAACCTTGACAGAGTTATGTCCTCTTGTCTGTTGATGAAGGTCGTGATGGTAAACAAGTATGGTCAGTTTCAAAGCAATACCTCCAATGGTTTTGAAATAAAGTGAGGTGGTACAAAAAACTTAACCAAGCTCAATACACTTTCTAAGTCAAAAAAGGGCCATAATTCTGACAAAAACCTTGACAGAGTTATGTACTCTTGTCTGTAGATGGAGGTTATGATGGTGAACAAGTATGGTAAGTTTCAAAGCCATACTTGTAATACTTCTGAAATAAAGTGGGGTGGTACGAAAAACTTAACCAAGGTGTGACGCCAACGCTAACGCCGACGCCGACGCCGGGGCGAGTAGGATAGCTCCCCTTTTCATAGAAAAGTCGAGCTAAAAATGGACTAAAAGGTTTTTCTGAAACATAATATAATACGTAGGGCGCAAGCTTAATTATCAAAGTTTAATTTAGCACCTCAAACTCCCCATTTAATGGTGAAAATGATCATTTTTTACGTGAGTTCTCAAAGTATATAGAAAAGTTTTCCACAGAAATCCGTAACGTTTTCCAGGAACTCCGTGACAGTTATCATAAGAACTCCAAACAAGTTATCATAAGAACTCCATCCTTCGTGTAACACTTCCTCCCCCGTGAATATGACAGTGGTTAAAAAGATTTCCATTGAGAAGATGACCGTCATTTGCCAAAATGTAAAGTTTTCAAAGAGCACTAATTTGTCTAAAGTATTATTACTGACTGATGGTGTTAAACCAAACCACCCAAAGACTATAGTGTTTTATATAGTGTTGGCATTTTATTACACTTACTATATCATGTGACAGGACATGACGGGAACTATATACCAGATTGCTGAGCATCTGAAGGTCGATGTAACAGCCGAGCAAGTTGACAAAATAGCAGAGCACTGTAGTTTCAGTAAGATGAAAGCTAGCAAGACAACGAATGCTGGCTGGATGTTAGATCACTGGAAAGTTGACAAGCAATTTGTAGGACATATACGAAAAGGTGACAATAAAATGCCCCTTTTTACATCATTTGATAAATCCATATCAATATATAAACACAAAGTATTAGAAAAATTAAATAGTCACATATACAAATATATTGAATATGGAGTTTTCCCTATGCAATTTTTATTCAACATACACCATGTATATGTTATGTGTTACATTTTATTATTGTTCGATCATTGTACTCTGTAGAAAACTAAGAATGGAGCATCACCAAAACGTAACTGGACTCCATGCACAAACATTTGACGTCATTTATTCCTTAAAATGTAGTTAATATCCAACGGCAGTATAATAGTTGTTATACTATTTTTATCTATAAATTCTTTCTTAACCAAATGACCTTCAGGTGTTGTCACCATTTCTAGAAAGCAATTTTATCATCTTTATTCTAGGTAAAGTTGGGGACTGGCGCAATCATATAACTACAGAAATGAGTGAAAAGATCGACAAAATGGTGAAAGAAAAGTTGTCTGACCTTGACCTCGAGTTTGATTTTGGACAATGATGGCATGTTCAGAATAGAAAACTAGTAGTTCTATAATCATAGTTGAAATTTCCAAATATTGTCACATTGACCAAAGTGAAAACAACATTTTCTATACCTTTACAAATAAATGGGGGAATTTCCATTTTATAAAAAGAACAGTAAACATTTTAAAGATGTATGAAATTAAGGCACATCAGGCTACCAACTACAATTTCAAGTTTTAACTCAGCTCTCAGTTCAAGGTCATGTTCAATGGTCTCCAAGAGTTTAAATTACCAAAATAAACCATATTGCTGAACATCTTTGCATACATCGTATTTAGCCCCTGGTAAGTCAAGTAGAACAACAAATACTTTTTTCCAAGTTTTTATATGTTTTATACTATAGCATATTTACAATAGTTTTACATATAATATAACAGAGAAATTGTTATAGCATGTGTTTTGAAGGAAACTGAGATCTAGCAATTAACATGATTGTGAGAAATGGAAATATATGTAGTCAAAACTATAACATATATATTATATATAAGAAATACATGTAGATCTACTTCTTATTAAACACGGAATTTGAACACAAGTTTTGTTACATTTTTACCATTTTCTACTTTAGATAAATTACACTGAATATTATTGAACATCACTGCATTATTTCATATCCTTGCTTAAATTTTGAAAACAGGTGAATTTATATAATTGACTTGCAATTGACTGCTTTGGATTTGGTACTGTCATTGTTATTTTAAGGGCTTATTATATAAAAAGAAAAAGAATTTAGCCACCAACAGTACAGTGGCTGGTGTCATCTATATGGGCATGCATGTCTCTCAAAATATTTAAAAAAAAAATTGAAAAAGACATCAGATTTCCTTTTACAAATTTAACTTATGTTACCAGTAACTTAAATTAAACTGGTGACAAAAGATTATAACAAAGCCAGATTTTCTGCCATAATTCTGCAAAATCTTAAATCCAGGGTACAAGTAATAATTCTGTAAAAATATTCCCTGGAAATCCTTTGAGAAATGTAGAAGACTATGCACATAGCAATTATTCTTGCTCAGTCTGTACCCACCAGCTAACATTCAATAATCTTATTACCCAAGCTTTCCATTGGAATACCTGGCAAAAAAATTTCAAATTAACAATGCCTGTGTAATATAATAAATATTTTTTTCATTAACACTACCATCCATAAAATTGGGAAAATACAAAAAGTAAAACTCTCATATATTATGCATTCATTTCCTATGTGAGGCAAACAAAGACAAATAGTGACTGACAAATAATATAATATTTATATGAAACGGTTAAAAGACAGGGACACATACACAGAAGAATGTATACAAGAAACAACAGTATTAAGTATAAAGAAATACATATAAAAAGACAGGGAGGAAACAATGAAATATAATTATCTATTATCTAAAAAAATTATCAAACACAGATTTTCAATCAGTCACACTGAATGGTTTCAACAATTTTGCACAAGGCTTTATTTGAATATCGCGTCTAATCTCCTCTGTAAGACAAAGGCAAAATAAAAAAGAGAAATAAGAAAATTTGTAAAGTTGTTAACAATTTTACAGCAATTGTTATATTAAAAATTACTTTACTTTTTACATAGATTGCACTGATTTATACCTACAGTAAATTTTATTATACCATATACTTTAGCATACACAAACAATAATATTTTCTTGTTACAATGAAGTCTACAGTTTTTATTCATCAATTATTATTAAAATAATATACCACTAAAAATTACAGCAATATAATTATAGAGAGTATTGAACAAGTATACAATCATAACTGAAATTTTTGAACAAGATCATTTGAGCCTCTGGTGAGTATAATAAAATTTTATGCAATGAGTTTGATAAATTTAGTAATGAAGCTACAAGAAGCTACTTTCTATATTGACACACTCATAATGTAATGTAAACATTAAGTGCATTATTTATTTTGTATAAAATGCCTTGCAGTATCATTTTTAATGATTTGCACAGCCTGCACCGGTATGAGAAAGTGCTCTGTCAAAGACATCAACAAATATTTACTTTACCCTACCTTAATTTATATCAATGCCCTGAATCAAAACTATCCATTGTTCAGAAAAGGGATTTCTGTATAATAAAGCCAAGTTTAAACAGGAAAGTGTATTAAGCCTGAAAAGTCGGCACGGATCTTAACTGGTGGCAAAGATATAAGTCATTGCCTTTACTAGCATTTAAAAGATTGTTTAAAAAGGGACAAAAATACAACTTAAATTAGTTATATACAAGAGAATAAAAAAACAAAATTATTTATGGAGCAAAAATCATTAACATTTTCCATGTACACAAAATGTAGACAAAATTCCTTTAAAAAATTATGTTTAAGGCCCCAAACCCACATCCGCCCCCAACATTTGCAACCTTGGTTTCTCTCACCCTCATACAAAGATGTTATAAAACAAATCCAATTATTCACACAGCACTTAATATGAACACAATTAATGTAACAAACATACATTCATCCTTGTATAACTTTTGTTTGTTTGTTTGTTTGTTTCATTTTACGCCTTTTTCCAACAGTATTTCAGTCATATAGGTGGGTAGTTTCCTAACCATCGTTCCTGGAGAGTTACACCAGTACTAGACTACCTTCCTCCGCGCTAAACTACCAAAGCATCTCCCGGGGATCGAACCCACGCCAGAGAGGTAACTAGATTAGAAGTCATCGACTCTAACACCTCGACCACGGAGGCGGTATCCTTGTATAACAATCATTTAGTTACATTCATTGTTCATCATTGATAATGACACATTACCTGAATACCACATTATAAGACTGACGTTTCATCTCATTTCAGCAATGACATTAATTTCTTGTGTAAAAACTTTCATGAGTAAAAACTTTAAGGCTCAATAACGAGTTTTTAAGAACGGATAATCCTAGAGGATTCTTGACAATGAACTATATGATGCTATTAACCAAAATCCTAACAACGCTATTGTTTTTGTGAAATTAATTGTCTGTTGAGTTGTTTTGTCTGAGAGGCAAACGTGTTCTACCTCGTGGGGTCACATTATTAAAGTTCTTTTTGGACTTTTTACATCCTAGAGGGCGTCCTTGCCTGTCATTCTCCTTATATTCGGATACCTGGAAATAAAAAGAATACAATCAACAATTGCAAAGCAGTCTTATAAACCATATACACTAACAAATGATTGGCAAAGAGTATTACGGAATCTGCAGTATACCTCATAGAATAATTTGTGTTTGCTATGAGTAAACATAAAATACTACTTTTTTAATTTCTTTTAGTATCTTTACAAATTATTTCTGTTATACTAGCATGAATCAGTACTGAACAAAGTTTTCTTTTATCTCTAACAAAAACAAATCGTAAAACTGCTGACTTCATAACATTTTATTGTGACATACCTTGCTTGCGGCGCTGACACTTGACAATCCTGACACTCCAGATGTTGAAGATTTCACGCTGCCGGCATCACTTTTGTCATCATTTATTCTGTCACTTTTGTCGTCATTTATTCCGTCACTTTTGTCATCAGGTATCACATTACCATCCTCTGTCTTGTCTATTACTATCTTTACCTACAATATAGATATTACTCTTAGTCTACTGGCGCTAACTGATTCTACCTATGTGTCCAGTACAGAACAGGTTCAGATGTCACACAAGTGTCCATGGCAGGCACAGTTTACTATTTTATATGTACAGTACCTTTGTGTAAAATCAACTTTAGTTTAAGTACAAAAAAAGGAGTACCAATTATAACAGTATTTTATTATGTATCAGCTTTAACAATGTAATTGTAGCCAAAACCACCAGCAAGTTGTCAGACAGATTTTAACTTTATACAATAATCAACATCCACTTTTTACTAGACACATATAATGAAAAACAATGATTCCCTCCCCCCCCCCCACCGCAGGGCCAATTTTAACCCAAGGGCTTTTATTTGAACAAACTTGGTAGACACCCATAAGAAAATGTTTCATGCTAAACATCTAAGCTCTAGCTCATTGGGTTTTTTAAAAGATTTTTTTTTAAGTTTTTACTATACACATATAAGGAAAATCAATGACCCCCGGGGCGGGGCCAATTTTGACCCTAAGGCTTATATTTGAACAAACTTGGTAGACACCCATTAAAACATGTTTCATGCCAAATATCTTAGCTCTAGCTCTTTGGGTTTTTTTAAAGAAGATATTTTAAGTTTTTTCTTTCGGTTGCCATGGCAACCAGAGTTCTGCATGGAATTAAATTCTTTGAACAATTTTTAAAGGTGACCACCAAAGGGACATTCCTGTGAAGTTTAGATGAAATTGGCTTAGTGGTTCATAAAAGAGAAGATTCATTTAAAGCAAAATTTCGATCAGGAACCACAAACGCATGACACGGACGATCGCCCGAAAGAAAAATGCGATCACAAAAGCTCACCCTGTCACTTTTGTGACAGTGAGCTAACAAAACAAAACAACCTTCCTCCACCCCATCACCAAAATAACAAAGATATAGTAAATCATATAGTTTTAAATCATGTGTATTTGCCAGTGAGTTCTGAAATTTTATGTTTGAAAGTTTACCTGATTTTGTGAGTCCAATTCTATGTCAGAGTCGAGCTCTTCTTCTATATCAATCATGTTATCACACCTGAATCTATCTAGCAATGTAAAATGTTCGCTGGTTCTCTTTAAGTTACGTTTGATCACAAACTGCTGGCGTTGTGGTGTAGCTCCTGTCAACATAGGAATATATATTCATTGCAGGAACTAAATACCTTGTACATATACTAGAGCTGTCATCGATAGAGACGATATCGATGTATCATTGATATTTTTCTGTCTATCAATAACCCAAACACATTTGAAAAAAATCAACTATTTTGTTTAATTATTTAATTGTCGATAAATTATGAAAATTCACCAAAAACATATACAAAAGCAGGTGGCCATGTCTAACACTAATCTGTTGTTTCATAATGGACACATTTCATAGCAGTGATGACAAAATATAGTCAGAAAAAAATCATGCAAAGGCCATTTTGAAACTGGAAAGAACATATTTGCATGAACAGAACATTAAGTTTACTAAAATCATTTAAACAGGTATGAAAAAGTATTATATACAAGAAATTAGGAGTATATATCAAGATATTGGTGTATCGCTGATATTTGTCATCCGATATACTGCAGTATATAGTCATTATGCTTTGTACTGAATTACTGACAGGTCTAACATAACATTAGTTTTATCAAGTGTCAATATTTACCATTAAACTGCTGGAACCCAAAGTTTATCAAATACTTGCTCTACCTGAGTTTTTAAAAGGATATTTTAAGTTCTTTCGGTTCATGCAACATGAGTTCTTGATTGAATTTATAATTGAAATCCCTTTAAACTTGAAATGGACATGTTCCATGAAGTTCAAAAGCTCATTATCCTAATCATAGCATTTGAGGCAGGTGCACGCCTACACACCATAACATACAAGGCTCACATTTCATGCGACCATAAAATATTATATCATTATAGTTTTAAATCATGTTATTCAGTGATCTAAAATGTAAATACCTGATGATCAATCATTAGAGTCGACTTTTCTATTCAATATGTAACACTGAATCTATCTACCAATGTAAATGTCCTGGTTACCTATTATACGTTTGTACGTGACCTGGGTGCTCGAACTAGATTATCATGCAGACAAACCTTGTCATACTGGCTCAATACTAGAACAATCGATGTGTATTCAATATTTTTCTGTCTATCAATAACCCAAACACATTTGAAAAAAATCAAACTATTGTTTTAATTATTTAATTGTCGATAAATTATGAAAATTCACCAAAAACATATACAAAAGCAGGTGGCCATGTCTAACACTAATCTGTTGTTTCATAATGGACACATTTCATAGCAGTGATGACAAAATATAGTCAGAAAAAAATCATGCAAAGGTCATTTCGAAACTGTACACAACATATTTGCATGAACAGAACATTTACTTTACTAAAATCATTTAAACAGGTATGAAAAAGTATTATATTCAAGAAATTAGGAGTATGTCTCAAGATATTGGTGTATCGCTGATATTTGTCATCCAATATACTGCAGTATATCGTCATTATGCTTTGCACTGAATTAATGACAGCTCTAACATAACATTATAACATTTAGTTTTATCAAGTGTCAATATTTACCATTAAACTGCTGGAACCCAAAGTAATTAACCTTTGTCACCAGTATTGAAAAGGCTCTATACTATTGGTAGCACATGGTTTTGTATTTTTATAATGAAATCTCTTAAACTTGGAATGGACTGTTCCATATTCAAAACCCATTATCCTAATATAGCATTTGAGGGGTGCACACCATCTACCCATACATACAGAGGCTCACATTTCATGGGACCATATATTATTCATTAAGATGTAAAATTTATTATTAAAATGTAAAAACACCTATACAGACTTCTAGTGATTTAATGAAAGCCATTTAAACGATCTGACCAGCAAAAATTCAATATATGTCAGCTGAATAACTTCTTATTGTGTTGAAACTGAGTAATTGAAAATTGACATATCCTGTTTTGAATTGGACAATATCTATCTACTTTTATTGATATTTATCTTGAAATATTGAATATTAAAATTGTAAACACACTTAAACAGTCTGGTCTGATTGCACCCGATACTATTTTATATTATGAATTTAAGCCACACCCTTACTGTAAAAGTCATTTGGTGACTTTCCAGCTTTAGTATTGGAGGAAGACCTCGGATTCCCATTCGGCATTATTTCAGGCATGAATGGGCATCAGAGAACCAGCTGTCTAAAGAGTAAGCTGGATAGACACTCTATAATGAGAGTATAGGTCTGTTATTATAGTAGTTATAAATGTTTACATACCTGTTGGCACACATTCACTCATCTCCTCTTTAATATAGCGTTCCATTTTCTGTTTATGTTCCTGCAATCTATTGAGCTGTTTCTCTATGTAACTTGATGTGGCACTTAACCTTTCCTCTGTGGATGACCTCTCAGTTTCTACCTCATTGGCAACACAGGCACTGTTTTTGTCTACCGAGTCTACCAGTCTGTCCCACTGTGACTGACACACTGATTGTAAATCCTATAACAGTTCAAATGAAAAACTTTATATGTTGACAACTTATTATTTCCAACCAAAAAAACAACTAAAAACCGGCTGGAAAAAAAAATTAAGCACTTTAATCATCTTGTAAATTTTTTTTTATTTGTTCAAGTTAACTAGTACTGGGGCTGAGATTACAAAGAAATATTCTAATCCCAATCTCAGATCTCTAGTATTTGATTTGTCAGAAACAAGTACAGAATGTGAATTGATCATTGAAAATCCTGAGCGTGATCTCAGAAAAAGATTTTATAACATTGGGCCTGGTGTTATATGAAGAAACCGGATTGCAAACAGAGACCCCAGTAGGGCTCAAATCTCTTTATACCTGGGATGAGAGGTAAACACCTTGACCACTACTGATTTAGTGATTTGAGTTCTCTTTAAAAGTCTGTCTCATGCAGTATACCATAATGATTGGACCATGGTCCAACAATTAACTCTACCAGCATAATTAACCCAATCAACAAATATTATCTTAGTATTAACTCTTACATCAGTATGTTTGTAGTGAGTATTGAGCCCTGTGTTGATATCTGTAATATGTTGTGTTGTACTGGCAGATGTTTTCTCACTGTACCTGCCAACTATCTCAGTACTATCTGATGTACAGGACATAAATGACTGTTTAAGATGGCCACATTGTTCCTGCATTCTCTGTGATACCTCCTCTACCTGAAAAATAATAAAAAAGACTGGAAATCCTTAAATATGCGACAAAATTAATTGTCTGTATTACCTAGCTTGTCCCAAAGCTGTATGAACAAATAAAGAAAAATCAGAATTTATTTCATAAAATATCATACAGAAGAGTAAAGAATGCTTCAAATTATACAGTTATTGCGGTAAATCAACATGAGATTTTGCTGGACCTGGCCTCATAAAACTATTACCTAAAGTAAACAGTCTTTTCTACTAGGATGAAAACAGGAGAACTGCCAACTAAACGTTCTTTTTATCCAATGCATCACTAGCAAATTTATATGTTTCCATAGTTTTATTAAAAAGACAGACAAGGCACTTACATTGTTCATTTCTCCCTGTAAAATATTGTGATGGTTATCTCTAACACTGTAAAATTCTTTCAGATTTCTTTCGTTGTTGGTAAGAATCTGTTCTCTCTTCACACTGGTGGTGTTGTTCATTGATTCCGCCATTGTTTTAATGTCTGCTGTCTTCTTTGCAGTCTGTAAAATATAAAAACTTCCAGATTAAGTTTCTTAAATTTTTACTGTTCTGGGTGTTAATGAATTAACTAATATCACTAAATTATGTACAGCAATGAAATGCATAGAGCAGACCCCAAATTCAATGACTACATGTTAAAGAAACAAGAGCTTTAAGCTGGACAGCATGCTCGACTATTCTTGATGCTTGACTGTAAAACAAGGGCCATTGAGAAGTTATTCTATGTCAACAAAGGGGAATAATTTTAGTTAAATAAATACTGGAGTTCAGTTATGGTTTATGTTAATCAACATTAATTTGCATAGAGTTATATAGTCTTACAGAATATATTTACTTACACAATTTTCCATTTGTAGACATATTTGTTTACTCTCTCCCATCAGTTCAATCAATCTGGCTGCAATTGTCTCCATTTCCTGTATATACAAACAACAACATTTCAATCTACACTATGATAAAAATCAAAATTGACTTTCTGAAATGATGGAGAATTGTTTCAATGTTTCTACTGACCTAACAGAAACATGTATGTACCACATATTTTTACATATACAGAGTTTCTCTGCCCATAAATTCTACAACAGGGACCCTGACAAATAAGTAATGACTGTCATACAAAATTTTTTTTCAACTGAACACAGGACAAAGCTGTAGCCAAGATTGTTAGGATATAAAAGGTGAATGATGACCATATAATGAGATGTTTATATGAACATTTTTATAATACAGTAGAACTTCCGTAAGTCGAAGTTGGATGGACTTGCGTAAAAACTTCGACACATCGGGACTTCGACTAATAAATCGGTCTGAATTCATGACAAAATTTCAACCTGTGACAAGCCCTAATTATAAGATCTATAACGTAACCTATTTCATGTTTTTCTTTCATTCAATTAATCTGATATTTTACATTATACAAAGATATATATGACATGTTAAATAACTTTTCACGGCTAATGATTTGAACTATCTGTTAACGTATACAATGAAGCACAAAAGGCATAACAATACCAAAGGGCAATAACTAAATCAGCTTATAATAATTATTTCGCGTGTGATTATCACGCGACACCGGGTCATGAAAGTAGTTCTTTCTGTTTACATGTTCTTTCAAATATCGCTACGGCAATTAAAATAGTAATGATTTATGCATTTTTTCACATATTTAAACGCATAAAAAGGATGTTTGAACACTTGGCTGTGTAATAAACACCTGTCACGTCACTAAAGTTGATCGGAAATCGTCTTTGCATCCAGAAAAGGTGTGAAAAACGTCTCGAGATCGAAGGTGTCAATATAATTGAAGGACTTCGACTTATTTATGGTAAATTGTACTAGATTTATTCTATACGGACCACGAAAAACTTCGACACATAAAAGTTTGACTCATAAATAGGTTTTTATAAAGAATATATAAGGGAAAAAATCGGGACTTTCATTTTACTTCGACACATCGAAAAAATCGACTTATCGAAGTTCGACTCATAGAAGTTCTACTGTATTTAAGTGACATTATGCCTATCCAAGGTTATCTAGTGAGTAAACAGGTGAAAACCATAATAAGTTTAAATTTTCCTATAATTCCTTTAAATTTTTATATTTTTTTTCGCACAAACGGTTAATCACTCATTTCGCCCACAGAAATTTCTATGAATATTTATCAGAATTTACCTAAAGCATTTCATTTATTAACAAGAACTGTCGGAGGACAGCAATGCTCGACTATTCGAAAAAGTTGTCACAAGAGTGTTTCATTGAGTACAATAATGCTTACCTATATGAATAAATAAAATTGTCCGAAAAGGTACAAAGGCTTGTTGTTAAGATTTTTTATCAAGTAAATCACTGCTTTATTATTATGAATGCATAAAATTGTCCCAAAAAGGCACAAACCCTTCAGTAGTTATGGAGATACCAGCTTACAAACAAAAACCTTACCAAGAATTTTTAAGCCAAAAAGAGGCATAATTATGCAAAAAAAGCAAATCAGAGTTATGGGACTTTTGCCAATCATGTAAGATAATCACAGAGACCAAGTATGTGAAGTTTGAATCCATTCCCTTCAGTAGTTATGGAGAAACCAGCTTACACGCAAAAACTTAACCAAGGATTTCTAAGTTGAAAAAGGGGCATTATTATGCAAAAAAGCAAACAGAGTTATGGGACTTGTGCCAATCATATTAGATAATCACAGAGAACAAGTGTGTGAAGTTTCAATCTATTCCCTTCAGTAGTTATGGAGAAACTTGCTTACACCAAAAAATTTAACCACAGGGACGCCGACAAATGGGTGACTGCATTAGCCCGATTAATCTGCAAAAAGTCGAGCTTAAAAGAGTGGGCCATTCTTTTTATATATAAGGCAGATTTATATTTTATCCTAAACATTTTTCAATATCAAGTTATGGTCATTTACCGTTATAACATTTTAAAAATCCTCTGAAATATATAGTTAATTCAGCTCAACTTGACAATGAAAATATCAGCATAATATCACTTCAATGATTCTAGCATGAATTTTTTATGTTAGAATATCAAAAGTGTATTCAGTAGGTTTACCTGATGTTTAGAGCAGCAGTCATCCTTCAGACTTGTTACTTCACTCTGTAATTCATCTACGCTGACTTTCTGTTCTGCTACGTAACTTTCACACGTATCACCTAAATCTTTGAGACCATCGGAGCACTCGTCAGACACGGTTCCTAAAATGGTATTTTGCTCCGCTCTCTTGAAAAAAAATAAACATGCTAAATTATTATACATGTATGTAGTTTAGATATAGGTAATTAATTAGTATGTACTTTATATTGTCATATATCTGTTATCAAAGAAGTAGTTTCTATTCTGGTCAGCAAAACAAATTAAGAATCAACTGACTGCTTTTTATCTTTCTAAAGTTGAAAACAATAATCTGGAAACAAAGTGATCCCTCGGAAGCATTAATCACAACAAAATGACATAAGAATTGCAGACTCGGTTTGATTGAGTCTGTACATGAGGGATAATGAATAAGTGCAACATCCCTCAAGCCCCCTAGCACCGGCTTGAGCGGTACTCAATTCTCAACACTTTATAGTGCTGGCATCAATGATCCCGAAGGACCAGAAAATATAACAACACTGAAGTGAAGCAACGGGGCAACCCTCTCCCAAAACTAAGACAACCAATTAGGTATTTTTTCTTCACAATTGTTGAGAAAAATGAAATAACCTTTTACCCTTTTACTTGATGTAGGTAGTTATAAAAAGGAGAGAATGGCACAAGTACAATACCTGTTGGTCAAGTAGCTGTTTCATTTCTGGCATTGAAGAACTTATATTTGCCATCTGTTGTAACAAGCTGCTGATTCCTGTCTCTACAATAGATTTTGTCTCTTCTATCTTCTTCAATGTCTCATCCTATATAAACATACCATTATTAAATGTACATTCTAGGCTGAGTATACTTTACTTCTTGCTAGTATAAGGAACAAGTGGCATTTCCTGCAAGTAACTGTCATCTTTATTATATACAATGTAATTGAAAAGAAAACTGAGTTATCATAGAAAAAACATACATATTACAGACTTGTGTTGCTTTGACATTGAAACTGTAAGGGACTGCAAACAGACTATAAAAAAGACATTTGTATACTATTTTTTTTGTTTTGGGTTTTAAGTCACAGCGACACAGTATAGGTCATATCGTGACGTTCCTACTTTACTGGTGGAGGAAGACATCGGGTGCCCTTCCATGCATTATTTCAGGCACATTTGTATACTTAGTTTCATCAAAAACTGAAAAGGTCATATGGCAACATTCCAGCTTTCCTGGTGGAGTAAGACCTCTGATGCCCATGCGCTCAACTTATTTTTGATGACCACTAATTAACATAAGCATATATGTAATTATATGCCAGCTTTAATCAACTGTTTGTTATTGCGTTTACAACCATTTAAAATAAAATAGCAGGAAATGATATATTCTTTTGAAACATTACCTGCAAGGAAGATGCTGCACTGTTGACATTTTTCACCCAGGAAGTGTTCTCTTCTGCCTGTTGTTTATGATGCTGTGATAATACATTCAACTGATCCAATACTAAAGTCTGAAACTCCCTCAGAAACGTTGTAGCATTATCTGTAAACTCCTTGCTTCTTTCCACTTTCTTTGCTGAAATTAGACAACACTTCATCACACAACAATGATACCGCTGCTTGAAATAGGGAGAGCATCAGTTTTGTAATCAAGGGGTTGCTGGTTTGATCCTAAGATGAGGTGAAATTTAATGAACATAGAGCCTAATGGTCCTTTGACTCTCAATGCTGATTAAGAAAACATGTGGGACATGTAGTCAGTCACTTGTGGAGAAATTTGTGGTTACTCGTTGGTTACCTTAGAATGCCAGTTAGGTGAACAAGTTACAGTGATATGACCAAAAGTGTAAAAATCGACATAAAAAACCAAACAAACAAAACATTTGCTGCCAAGAAAAGTAAGCCAAAGTTTTTCAAAGCCAAGAACAGAAGAAAAATTATCAGTGTTTAGGCCATCCTTAAAAAATTGTTTGTTTGTAGTGCTCCGACCCTATGTTCGAGAGGTGGGTAGGTAGGTAGGGGATTTTTTTTTTTTTTTTTTTAAATTGTTACAAAATTGGAGCATACTGAGTAGAGCAATACACAGTATATAGTCTCCCATGATATACTGTGCATTGTATTTAGACAAATTAAAATATGTAGGCAAATGTATTTCTGTTGATATTTTCTTTGTTTAATATTTCAAATGATAACAGACATACAATGTAACACTTTTGTTGTTGTTTATTTTACATCTATTTCATCTTTAAACAAAATAATTGAACTTGTTCCTTATTTACTGACATTAACAATGTCTGGAAAAAGGTGAAAATATCTTTAATAAAACAAGTGGTCTGAGAAAAATATATACAATACGATTACTTGACAGATCTAGCCCTTTGAGAAAATAGAACAGAATTAGTCTCAATACCAGTATTTCAGTGTTATTTGAAAATGCAATTTACACTGCAAGTATAGGTGTTTTGTTTGTAAAATCAATGATTACCACCTTTTTTGATGACCACCTAAGATTTCATTTACTGGTCCTGACTTGTCAGATTCTAAATGCACAAAGAAGGGAGGGGTGTAGCAAATCCATTTCTCATTACTATTGAATAAAAGGAATTATCCTGCAAATAATATTAATCTGGTTAGAATATAATTATTTGAAATTAAATGACTAATAGCAAAAGTTTTAAGCTTTGATTTTTTTGTTATTGTTTGTTTGTTTTTTTCTTTTTTGTTTGTTTGTTTTTTGTTAAATTTTAGGGGTACACTTGAAAATTTAGATTACCTTGCCACTTAATCGTATTAACCCAGTTAATTAACTCCATTCACTAGCCAGCATAATAATAGATCATTACGTACTCGTATGTTACACCTGTCACACAGTCGTGTGTACTTACCATATAAGTGTAGTATGTAGAAAAATCTACGTCACCTGCTGTATACATGTATAGTGTGTAATAAACAGGTCCTGGAGCCTGGAGTTTGTTTTGAAAGTTGATTTAAAGAGAGCAACAATTAATAAACCCATTTGGGTGTTTAAAAGGGAATATAGTACGGACAATTACAAAGGAGAAAAAAGATCAAAACAAAAGAAACAAGAGCTGTCCGTAAGACAGCGCGCTCGACTTTTTTATTGCTTGCCAATAAAAAAAGTTTTTGCAGTAAAAGGCAATACAAGAATCTCTGTATTTTTAAAGTGAACAATGGCCATGAGCATTAAGATATTTAGTGAAGAATTATTTTACTGAATTGTGTGATACCCTTGAACACTGCAGCAAAGTTTGAAATGTTTAAGTCAAAAGAGGGCTGGTAAGAAAGAAAAAAAAACTGAGTTGAGCCTTAAATAAATTTAATAGTATTAAACCCACTTTGAGAGAATAAGGTATTTTTACGTCACTCAGAACACCTTGGTAAATGACATAATAACATAATTTTTCAAGAAATCTATGCCAAGGAAGCAGTATATTTTTGTACAATCAGCATAATATATAGATTTGACTTTGTATGTGAAAGTATTATAGTTACCTTATAATACAAGTAATAGATAAATTTTATCAAGCTTTTTTAGATGTTGTCAGTTGGTCACAAGTGGATCTCTTTCACACAGTTCAGTCAAAAAGTGGACTGGTACTAAAAACTTAACCAAGATTCTAAGTCGATAAAAGGCCTTAATTTTTAAAACAAATCCTTGACAGAGTTACCTTCTCTTGCGTACAGATGGGGGTAATGATGTGAAATAGCATTAAAAGTTTCAAAGCAATATCTCAAAGGGTTAAGGCAATAAGTGGATTTTACCCATATTCAATGTATTTTCTAAGTCAAAAAGGGGCATAATTCTGTCAAAAACCTTGACAGAGTTATGTCCTCTTGTCTGTTGATGAAGGTCGTGATGGTAAACAAGTATGGTCAGTTTCAAAGCAATACCTCCAATGGTTTTGAAATAAAGTGAGGTGGTACAAAAAACTTAACCAAGCTCAATACACTTTCTAAGTCAAACAAGAGCTGTCAGAAGGACAGCGCGCTCGACTTTTTTAGTGCTTGCCTATAAAACAAAACTTTGACAGTTAAGGGCACACAAGACTTTAACTAGGAATTTCTAAGTACAAATCAAGAAACATTTTCACAGAGTTATCTTCTCTTGCTTACAGATAGGTCTCATGATGGCACATAAGAACTCCAACTTCCAAAGTAATATCTCAAATGGTTAGGTCAACAAGTGGACAAGAATGAAAATTTTAACTGAGTTTCTAAGTCAAAAAGGGCCATAATTCAAATAAAATCCTTAACAGAATTACCTTCTCCTGCCCATGTTTGGGACCATGATGGTAAACAAGTATTCCAACTTTCAATTTAATATCTCAACCAGTTCAGTCAAAAAGTTGACTGGTACAAAAAACTTAACCAAGATTCTAAGTCGATAAAAGGCCTTAATTTTTAAAACAAATCCCTGACAGAGTTACCTTCTCTTGCGTACAGATGGGGGTAATGATGTGAAATAGCATTAAAAGTTTCAAAGCAATATCTCAAAGGGTTAAGGCAATAAGTGGATTTTACCCATATTCAATGTATTTTCTAAGTCAAAAAGGGGCATAATTCTGTCAAAAACCTTGACAGAGTTATGTCCTCTTGTCTGTTGATGAAGGTCGTGATGGTAAACAAGTATGGTCAGTTTCAAAGCAATACCTCCAATGGTTTTGAAATAAAGTGAGGTGGTACAAAAAACTTAACCAAGCTCAATACACTTTCTAAGTCAAAAAAGGGCCATAATTCTGTCAAAAACCTTGACAGAGTTATGTACTCTTGTCTGTAGATGGAGGTTATGATGGTGAACAAGTATGGTAAGTTTCAAAGCCATACTTGTAATACTTCTGAAATAAAGTGGGGTGGTACGAAAAACTTAACCAAGGTGTGACGCCAACGCTAACGCCGACGCCGGGGCGAGTAGGATAGCTCCCCTTTTCATAGAAAAGTCGAGCTAAAAAGGGCCATAATTCTGTCAAAAACCTTGACAGAGTTATGTACTCTTGTCTGTAGATGGAGGTTATGATGGTGAACAAGTATGGTAAGTTTCAAAGCCATACTTGTAATACTTCTGAAATAAAGTGGGGTGGTACGAAAAACTTAACCAAGGTGTGACGCCAACGCCGACGCCGACGCCGGGGCGAGTAGGATAGCTCCCCTTTTCATAGAAAAGTCGAGCTAAAAATAAACAGTGCATGATTGCATCAAAGATTAAAAAATATGGCTATTAAACTACTTTTTAGGAAAAGGTAAAATTAATGAATAATTATCGTTCTTAAAAAGAAAACACAGGTATAACTTATTTAAAAGTATCGGGAAAAGACCCATTAATTTCCAGCGATTTTCCCGCGAAAATTTTATCAATTAACTTGTTTTTTCAACAAGTTTTAGTGTAACCTCATTTTCTGACAATCATGAATGGCAAAATGATTTAAATTAATTTATGTCAACAATAAAGTTTTTCTGGTATTATTTTGTGTAAAAATATATGAATACAGTGGTGGCCTATGGTTACGGAGGGTAATCCATTTTAACATTCGTTGATGTATGTATATTATCTTTGAAGCAAGGTTGCAATCTTTTTTTTTTCACTTTTATATAAAAAATAAATCAAATTTTAGTCTGGTTTAATATGTCCAGACGAAAACTTTATATTTGTAAAAATGCCTTGAAGAGGGCATCATTTCCATAAACTGTACCGTGTTCGTATATATATGCAGCATTTAGTGGAATGAATAGGAAAATGGAGTACAGCTTCACACAGTGTGTAAGAGATTCATCCGATCGGCAATTAATTTAGCAAATATCTTTAAAAGGGGATCGACTTTTATAAGATTAAATGTTAAATAATTAACAAAAGAACAATCATTCACATGTTTGGCTTGGAAACTGAGAATTTTTATGCCCTTTGCGAAATTTTTAGGTTTCTGGCGAATGTGAAATCGCCGATGTTCGGGGTCGAAGTTAGGCAAAATATCGATGAAAAGCGTGCGTTTATTTTGGTTTTGGAATAAAATTCTTTTACTCTACTACTTCTCAGTTCAAAATTTGTCTGAAAAGTTATTGGAGAAAGATCTTTTTAACAGAATGGGTACAAAATGATCTCAAAAAAAAAAAAAAAAAAAAAAAAAAAAAAAAAAAAAAATCCTCGAAGGTGTAAAAAATTTTTAGAGTCGGGGCCATTTTCATGGGTCGGTCGGAGCACTACAAACAAACAATTTTTTATGGATGGCCTTATTAGTAATGCACCACCCATGTGTTTCTCAGCTGCACAGGTGTTAAAGCACAAAGTGGAAGGATTACCACTTCTACAAGCAAGTGTATAGGAGATGCTAAATACTGAGATTTCATAACAAAATGTTTTTGGATATCTTTTGTAGGATATAAACTTACCAATATTAGCGAGGCAGGTTTGATGTGAATCTTGTTGCTGTGTTTTATATGACTGAGCATCTTCCTCTATGTGACTTACATTTTCATTAAAACTCTCCTCAAACAACTTTACCGTCTCTTTGTTTTGTTGCTCCACAGATTTCATACGATCTAACTTCTCATGTAAACCTGAAACATCTGATGTCGACACCTCTGCTGTATTTAACAACTGAAAGAGTAAACAGAAAAATTTCCAAATATATTGACTTTACACTGTAATTGCTCCTCTGTTGTAAATAACTTTAAAAAACAACAGAATTACATCAACTTTAAAGTCAAAATAAAAGGTAAAATGACATTTTTTACAGCCTCCAGGCATAAGTGAGCACCGGAAAAGTGCCACTGACTAATTTAGGGAGCTACGGTTTTAAAGACAAAAAATAAAATAAAATAAGGAGCAGACATGGAAATCTTTGTCTTCAGCTGTCAATAATTACCTTCTGATGTAAAGAAGCCAAAAGTTTTTATTAAGTGTATAGTTAGTCTTATACTAAGTAGTTATAGACTTGCCGCTGACTTTAAGCAGCAAACCTCTTGTTGGGTAACATAAATCTTTTAAACATTTTGACTAAAATGTATCTATAGCTTAACAAATATATATTAAAAATCAAGGCCAAACTGTAAGTAACACATTAAGAAAAATTTCCAAAATTTTGAATGGTAATAGTTACTTCCTTATAGGCCTTAAGTTAAATCACCTAAATTGTACACTTGACAACATTTTTAATCACTGTAACAACTTTTAAGTCTTCAAAAACTCAACAAAAGTCTAGAGGCATACTGCTTTAAAACTTTCATTATCTATGCTAGTGCTTAAAAATGCTCATACTTACAGACAGGGCATTTTCATATAGTTCATTCTCATTCTTCAGGTGTTCTGAGACTAGGAATTTCTGTTCATTTCTATCCTGTTCTGTCTGTCTTAAAGTCACCTTGGTTTCTCGCAGATTGGTTTTGGTTTTCACCAATTTCTCCTTTGTCAACGTCAGTTTGTCTGTGGTCACTTGTAACTCTTCTTGTGTCTCGCTGAACAAATCTTGCACCTGGAATAATAATTATTCATGCAACTCCATAAACACAAGTTTTAACCCCTGCACTGCTTAATTTACCGCTTTATATCTAAAACTGTCTGGATAAAACAACAACAACTTGAAGTTTGTACAGTGCCTGGGCAGACTGCATGGTTTGAGAATGCATGTGTGTGTGTTTTAAGTTGCACCAACATATGGCAACTTTCAAGCTTTACTCTTGGAGGAAGACCTTCAGACACCCCTCTGTGCATTCAGGCATGAGTGGGCGCTTAAGCAGAACCACTGCTTTCCATAAACAAGCTGGCAGACTGTATAAAGTCTGCTTGACTATGTAATGATGGCAATCAATGTTTAGGTTTTATTCAAGCATTCTCTAGGTTAAAGTCTTCATCAAGTACCAACAAAAGCTTTTCAACAATTTTTTCCCATAGAAAATGTTCTTATAAAACCACAAAGGCAGGAAATGGAGTTAACATGAAAACTATTTAAGTACAAACTTTTGATAGCTCTGTAGTAATGGCTTCTATTCTATCACTGAGTTCAGCTATTTGATCATCTTGTACAGTTATCTTCATCTGCATGTTACTGAAAGTATACACACAATTTAATGTTACTAAACTTTACCAAGAGATTTCCAATGAAATACTGGAATTTATCTTTCCAGGGAAATACTGAAATTAATCACTCTTAGAGTTATCTCTACCAAGTTTTGTGCACTTTAAGTTTAAATTTTTAGCAAAGCAATGATGAATTGTTTTGTATATTATGCCATAAATTTCAGTTTTCAATCTCAAAATATAACAAGGCAGCCAACATTCAATGACAGTGAATTTATGCCTTATGTTTGAAAATAGAAAAGTAACAGCAACATTTATTGATTTCTTGACCAAATACTGAACTATTTCCAATTGCCAATTCTCTTACTTGTAGTTTTCTTCTGCAATATAAATTCCATTTTTTTCTCTACTGGCCTGTAGGTCTCGCCTCAATTTGTCTATTTCATCATTGTACTCCTGTAATACACGATTAGAACAACAAATTATTATAAATATACCCGTACTATTCCCTACTTATACAGAGGATATTAAAACTAGAAATGTGTCCATAGGACACTGATGCCCCCACACGCCACTGTTCTGTCAATCTTATGACTCTAGGTCAAATATTTTTTGGACTACATGTGCCACAAGTTGAAAAATAAAAATCAACAAACGGCAATAATTCTGTTAAATTTGGTCGCAGCAAAATATCCTTCCTTTACTACGATCTACACATTAAGGTTGTTAATCCCTGGAAGTTTAAGCAAAAACTGCCATCCGGTTTAAGAGGAGTTGCGTTCACAAAATTTCTACATAGTATAAAGTGAAAAAATCAACAAAGGGCCATAATTCTGTAAAATTTGGTCGCAGCGAAAATTCCTTCCTTTACTACCATCTACACCTTAAGGTTGTTCATCCCTGTAAGTTTAAGCAAAATCTGCCATCCGGTTTAAGAGGAGTTGCGTTCACAAAATTTCTACATAGTATATAGTGAAAAAATCAACAAAGGGCCATAATTCTGTAAAATTTGGTCGCAGCGAAAATTCCTTCCTTTACTGCCATCTACACATTAAGGTTGTTCATCCCTGTAAGTTTAAGCAAAATCTGCCATCCGGTTTAAGAGGAGTTGCGTTCACAAAATTTCTACATAGTATCTAGTGAAAAAATCAACAAAGGGCCATAATTCTGTAAAATTTGGTCGCAGCGAAAATTCCTTCCTTTACTACCATCTACACATTAAGGTTGTTCATCCCTGTAAGTTTAAGCAAAATCTGCCATCCGGTTTAAGAGGAGTTGCGTTCACAAAATTTCTACATAGAATCTAGTGAAAAAATCAACAAAGGGCTATAATTCTGTTAAATTTGGTCGCAGCAAAAATTCCTTCCTTTACTACCATCTACACATTAAGGTTGTTCATCCCTGTAAGTTTAAGCAAAATCTGCCATCCGGTTTAAGAGGAGTTGCGTTCACAAGATTTCGGGACGTACAGACGGACTGACTGACGGACGGACGGACAAGTGCAACGCTATATGCTCCCACATTGTGGGGGCATAAAAATGTAAGTTCAATACTGAATTTATTGAACAAGTTGAATAAAATTATATTATGCGAGCCAAGCCTCTGGCAAGCAAAATATTACTTTATTATTATTCAACGAGTTCAATATATTCAGTAGTCAACTTAAACAAATTTCACATTCTATTTATCACATACAAAAAATAAAGACTGATTGAAAAGAAAAGAACAATTTTTCATTGATGTGCCTATAACGCAAACATTTAGCACTTTACACTATATTTATATAGCACAAATGACATCATGTCACATTTAAAATATATGCACAGCCATGCAAATATCATTTTTAAGGACGCAAAAGCAGCAAGAATATGTGATAAAATTAATTATTCAATTAATTCAACATCTTGTAACTTAGAACAATAATGATGTTACACCATTTTTAAAGGCAATGGAACATGCAAATATTTTAGGCATGTTTTTAATTCAGAAAACTCTGATCAATTTTGTATGGCTTTAGTTTACATGTTATATTTACTAGGATTTGACATATACATGTATTATTAACCAAAAATGTTCAGTTTTCCTACAAATTTGCAAACATGTAATATTTCAGTATATATGGGAAAACATTATTTCGAGTCATCAGAATTATCTAGACATGCCTTGCAACTTGGGTAGTAACAAATCAATTTACTGAAGAAGGGGACTGGCCAAAATCTGATCAGTAACAATATGATTTGAATTTTAGTTGGTATCTTTACCCTAGGTTAACAAAATTAATGTAAAGAATGACATTCAGAGCAAAATGTGCTCATATTATAACAAAACACTTGTCAATTAATTTCCATTAAGTCTTAGCATACTTTTAATTACTGATGCAACCTGGACACGTATGTGAATGAGACAAGATGATACACTACAATAAGTCTTAAGAAGAACACTACATTACCTTTATAAGAGCTTTCTTGGTTAATTTCTGATTAACTTCTGGTCTATTTGTGATATCCTTGGCCCTGTGAGCATAATCAAGGGTACTCAGAGTCTCCTGCAAAATTCAGGTGCATTACAGAAATATCCCAAAACACTTTTAACAGGCAAAATGCTATAAAAACATTTACAGGACTTAAAAACAAACTCATTAGCATACTGTACTTTACAAAAAAAAATTGTTATTTAATTTGTTAATGCAGGAATTTCCCCTAACACATCAATCAGCCCCAATGTGCTTAAATTTCAGAATTTAAAAAAATCCTTTGCACTTACAACTCATATAGCACTTATACATGTATATAGTTATACACCAGTATTTACAAGTAATTGTACAACATAAACTTTTTGGTTTTTAGTAAAACCATTACCATCTTGTGAAAAAAAAAATTCTTTAACTTTAAATCAATTCAATGAAATAAAGGAGAATAAAGTACCTCAAGATTGATGGACGCTGGAGATATGGTAGCAATGATGGAGGTTTTTGTACGACCACCAAGCGAATCCTGTAATATTCTCGTCAGTTTACTCTCCCTGAAAAAAACAACATGTAAAGGTAATCAATGCTACAATATGAAGTTGCTAAATCAAGTTTACACACTAAATCCTATCCTCAGTTTATTTGGTTTTTGCTCAACATAGATGAAGAGAATTGAACCATTGTCAGGAATATATAACTTGAATCATGGTTAAAAGATGCAAGGAAGTAATGCTTCACCAAGCATATTAGGTATTACTTACCTATCTTAGTAAAGTAGAACTACTTCTAACCTTATGAGCTTGGTGGACTCCTTTTCTTTAAAATGATTTAAATTTCTGCCTTTTCCAAAACCAAACTGACATTGGAAGGATCAAGTATTTAAGGTTAAAAACATTATCCTTTTTGGATCAAAAGTTCATATGCTAAATGCATCAGAGATTAAAAACATTAGTTATAAGAAATAAATGTTTTACCTGTATGGTATATGGGGAGCATGTTCAACAAGGGCGGTTATGACGCGACCCAGTGTGAGCAGACTCTGGTTGATGTTTCCTGCCTCTCTGGCCCGCTTATCTACAGCACCTGAACGTCCAATATTCTCACTCCCAGCTAAATCCACCTGTAGATGATAATGATAATAAAATGTTTTTAGTCTGAAATAATCATGTAATAATCTCCAGACATAAACATACCAGTGATCTTGATAATTTCACATTGTAATATTACACCTGACCCACATAACACATTTGATTTGACACAGAAAACATCTATTTTCAGTTTGTTGAGCAACATTAATGGTCAAACAAGAAAGGGGCAAATTCAATTTCCTTATCAACATACAGGGCCAGAAACAGCTTATTTTGATATTGAGTATTTTTAACCCTTACACTCTTAAATTTTATTATTAGACTTGTCATACAATCTATTTGGGGGACAGTTCAATTTGAGATAGAGCCATTCAAAATCAAATTCATAAAAGCGAGCATTGAAACATCAGTATAGAGCCTGTTCAAAATAAATGTGCAGACAAACTGGCTCTTTACCGGTAGCAAAGACACCTGTTATATTGGGCGGCATTAAAGAAAAAAACATCAATACCAGATGAAGTTTTCCTGTTTTGAGCAGCTCCTCCCCATCAATTGTGTTCTCTTTGGTATGAATGGTGACTGTGAATACTGAGTGAGAACGACTGAAACAAAAACAACATTAATCATCCGGTAAAATAGGTTTTTCTAATAATAAATTTAACTAAGTCATCCAACACAATACTGAGACTTAGGAGACTTAAATTAGTTAAAATGCCATTTTACAATACATTATTAAAAGCTTATACTTGGATGCAGGTTTAAACGACATTATGATTATGAAAATGTAGCATCCTTCCTATTACAAACAAAAACCAAAAACAACCACAAAACATAATATGATTGGCCATAAAACACTACATTGCATTATAAAGCCCAGTACTAAGTTACAAGCTAGACAATAGTAATGAAATTACTTCATACCTTGAGAAAGCGTTCATTAATGTTGCAGCAGTCTGTCTTTTTGATGCTCCACGCTCCAGAATCTCGTAAACTTCATCCTTACTCTTTACCACTATCTCTTCTAGACCTTGAATAATGACTGATCCCTGGAATTAATGAAACATCAATTTCCTCTAGCAATTAGAAACTACTGATCCCCACAAGGAATAAGGTAAAGTTAAATAGTAACAAATTGTCTACAAAATATGGCAGTCTTTAGATGATATTTTGTTATTTAATATTCATCCAGATCAAAAATTAAGCTTATTCCTGCATGTCATAAAGTTAATTCAAAGTGATCTGTTTTTATAACTGTCAAAACAATGACCAGTCCAACAAAAACATATTGTACTATGTATATAAAATTTGGCATGGTGATTAATGTTAGCAACTCTAAAGCTTTTGTGGGTTGAAATTTCACCAAGGATGTCCCAGCTAGTTTACAGAAACTGCAGGTGCCTGCCTGGCCTGAAATAACACACATACCATCCATCATCAGAGAATAGCTTCCATTAGTTGAAACTAAAAAGTTTTCATATTAACACAACAGTGTTGGGGTGGCATTAGGCTAAATTCAAACAAAAATGATAAAATTAATATTTTGCCTCTCTGCCACAACATTACCTTTCTGCTGGAGTCCTCGTAGATTTTAAGACGTAAAGGATCAATTGATGAGCCGAGTAGATCGAACAACTCTTCATTATACAACTCTAAGAAAGAGACACGGACCGAGAACTCGCATTCCTGTGACTGTAAACAAGACAAAATTTGTTAAAATTGGGGATACTGTTTTTGCAGTAGCTACATGAAATTATAATAGGAAAGAATGATAACAGAGCACTTACCTTTTCAAGGACACAATACCATATAATTTAAGGATAATATGTCAGAACCTAACTGTTTCATAACATGTTGGCTACCCAACTTAGAAGCTTTGCAAGATATCAATTTAACTTAAATCAATCTAAAGTACATCTAGTTTAAACTGTTAAATATATAACATCAAACTTCATCAGATGACAAACTTGTACATGTATATTGTAAGAAATTCACAAAAGATTGTGTGACTGTGAGAAATTGATTTACCTGAAGAGAGTCAAATATATTGGCTAAACTTCTAGGAATTATTCCTGTAAGTGGATCTTGTTCCCAAGTCAAGTCAGGATCGTCAGACCTCTCTCCCTCCATAGTGAAAGTCTTGCCTGTACCTGTCTGACCATATCTAAACATACAAAAAGTAAATTAACATTATCTTAGCGGTATAATAAGTGAATACATGTTTCCAATCCATGCTTATCAATAAACATTGTTTTATGCTATACGACTATCAGTTATATGGTACTGGCATTATTTGAAAAAAAAAAAAGATCAAATACTTCAAGAAAATAAAGGCTGAATGAATATTATAAAATGGGAATGTGTGCGGAATCAGGTACACTGACTCTAATAATAATATAACAATGTTCATTCTTTTCAGTCCCAAAATAATGTAAAAAGGCTGCCATTCTTTCTAACTTACGCAAAAATAGTACAGTTATAGCCACTGAGGACCTCCGAAATGATTGGGCTGACAACTGTCTTATATACATCTTGTTGTTTCGAGTCCTGATTAAAGACATGATCAAATGAAAATGTCTTGGTTGTTGGATTAACTCCAAGCCTCTCTTTCACTGTGACTTCTTTCCTCAAACTGTTAGCATCAGCAACAGAGTAGGACCCTTGTTTTCTCTCTGAACTGTTAATAGGTCTGAAAATAAAAATTGTTTGTTTTTAAAATTGGCATCCTATGGAATACTGCAGGGGCGTGTCCTGTTGCAACTGGTCTGAAAGTGAAACAAATGCTCATATGCTTGCAGTAGCATCAACACATTTTATCTGAAGCAGTCACTGAGCTATTGCTCAGGCTGATCACTTAGCCCAGGGTTCTATGATATCAGGGTACTTAAAGTTTTCGGAAAATATTCAAATATAAATATCATAAATGAATGAGATTTGTCTTCTATTTAATAAGTGAACTTTTCCCAAAACTGTTTGTCAAGAAATTATTTCAAAAGATCCCATTAAAATGTCATTTTTTAAACTATTTCCAATGTCCGCTTTTTTGGGTAATTTCAGAGGAGGTTACTATGGTATCACAGTAATCCCCAAAATGCAAACATGGAAGGATAGATGGGTTAAAATCTTCAAGTTAGGTTGTGAAAAACTTCCAACAGTTAGCTTGCCATAATATTCAAACTATATCAGTATATGAATAGAGAATATGTCAGTTTATGTGATTATAACATTTTTATTGACTGTGTAAAAATAATTAAGAGAAATAGTCGTTAAACATGAAGATTTTATGAAATAGTTTTCTTCACACGAATACATTCATTATTCATAAAAGGCAATCTCCTGGATTACACCCCTATGTATTTTTCAGGTGTAAAACTTGTATATAATACACTAAAGAAAACGGAATGAATCTTATATATATACTCCTGGTTTAGACCCCGGGGTCTAATCCAGGATATAGCCAAAATAGGTCGGTCTTGCAGTCGAAATATTGAGACTACCAGGCAAAAGACACTAGAAAAATTGTTTGGTAAAGAAAGTAGTTCTTCAACTTTCTTCTTCTTCTTCCAATATACTGGCCACCTTCAACTAACTGAAGTTTACTGCCAGGTTAATGCACAAGACAGAAAGAAAGAGTAAAAATAGTAACGAATATATACAGTTCAGGTTAAAAACGGACAAGAGTGTGGTTAAGATATAGAGTTGGGACAGATGAGTACAGAATGACTCAACTGTACCGACTGAAGTTACGTCCGGAGGTAGGCTGTTCCAGTCTTTGATAGAACGTGGGAAGAGGGATTGTTGGTTTGGTTTAAACATATTTTATTTAGAATATTTGTACATGTGTAAATAACAACATAACAATAATTATAGATTTTGGCCGAAAGCAGAAGCTTATAGAAGCCATTATCTAAGAGGGATTGTTGACGTTATTGTGTACGGCAGTATGGAATCTTGTAGGATAGGTTGTGTGAATTTCTTGTAGATGTGGAGTTGGAGGGTATGAGTTGTGAATTGTCTAGAGCGACCTTGTTGTTGATGACTTTGTAGAGCATGATCAGTCTGGCCTCCTTGCGACGTTCTTGTAATGATTTCCATTCAAGGTCTGCAAGCATGTCTGTGACGCTGGACCTGTTGTGGTATTTTTTTTAACATACTGTGCAGCACGTCGTTGGACCATGTCTAGACGGTGTATGTCTCCCTTCTGGTGGGGGTCCCAGACGGTAGTCAGACTATTCTCTCCCTTACCAGTTCCTTCCCTGATGTTTCCTCCCTGACGGTTCTCTCCCTATTTTGGAGGAGAACTGTCTGCACATTTGCAAATAAGAAGACAGTTCCTCCCCATTCTTATTTTTATAATCACATTATTATTAAAGTATTTAGATGATAAATCAATGGGTAAATTTATAAATTAGAAAAAACATGATTTTATTGAAGTGTTTACATGTTAAATAAATGGGTAGGTTTATTATAAATTGATATAAATTAGAGAGAAAAATACTTTAATGAAGTATTCAGATGTTTAATTCAAGTTTCAATTTTGTTAGCATCATCAGCAACAATAAATCAGTAAGTTTTATTATCAAAAATTAATATTAATTAGAGAATTTTTTTTTTATTGAAGTATTTAGATGTTTAATAAATTTGTAACTTTATTATTTATTGATATAAATTGAATTAGAAGAACATTTTTTTTAACATATAATAATAATTGATCAATGATGATGTTAGTTAATCATTCTGATTTTTTAATTAGATGTAATGTAATCTTTTTAATGTGTTTAGTCATTGAAAATAATAAATGAATAATTTACTTGATTAGGATAATCATAAGATATTCATTTTTTTAATAAATAAAAATGAAATATATAGGCCAAAAATGATTGATAAATTTTAAGTATAATGAAAAAGGAGTTCTATACACACATGTATGCTGTCAGAGATAATTGAGGTGTTTATTAATTCATTACTCAAGAATCAAGGTGTTGATTAGATTAAAATAGCTGTAAAAAGGTGTTGATGAATAAATATTATATTAGTTATTTGGTATTATATATTGTTTCAAGTTATTGACTACATGTTTTAAATCAATTTCGTAAAAAAAGTAAATGTGGAATGGAATGTGTTTGCATACAAGTTGTTGTTTATTTATTTTCTAGAACTTACTTGCTTCCACCTTATTCAGTACTTAACAAATGAATTAATGAAAATCACAAGCTAGACCTTTACATAATTACAGGTGTATATCAATCACTGTCCAATGATCTATATCTCTCACAATAAAGGTGTTGATAGGATTAAAATACTGAAATAAGGTGTTAAATTTACAAACACTTTTTAGCTGATAAACATAAAACATAAATTGCAGTTAATATCAAACACATTCTTTTAATAATCTTCATTAAGAAATATTATTAGATTAAGTCAAAACTAAAATGATAACTTATAAAAATAAAATTGGGGGAGAACTGTCTGCATATTTCAAATTTGGGAGAGAACCGTCAGGGGAGGAAACGGTTTGGGAGAGAACCGTCAGGGGGAGGAACTGGTAAGGGAGAGAATAGTCTGTCATTCGTCCCAGACAGTGCTCCCATACTCCACTGTGGGACGGACAAGAGCTTTGTAGGCCCTTTCTTTGGTGGAAGTGGAGGCGATGTTGAGGTTTCTTCGCAGGAAGCTGGTGGTACGGTTGGCTTTGTTACAAATGTTATGTATATGTTGGCCCCAGTTTAGGTTGTTATTCAGGGTGCATCCAAGGTATTTAGCTGATGTGACGTGCTCTAGAGTATGACCATGAAGAGTGTAGTTATGGCAGATGGGGCTTCTTTTCTTGGAGATGGTGAGGATACTTGGCATTTGTCTGGGTGGAATGACATTTTCCATTTCTCTTCCCAGACAGCTAGTTAATTTCTATCTGTAATTTGAACAATTTATCAATTTAGAAAAAAATGATGTCATCGGTCATAAGTCTACCTACCACAAAATCTCACCTCCCAATTATATTTTAGTAAGGGTCAGACAGGAACTGGTAAATGTCATAAATTTTTCCACAAATCAAATGGAGATTTCAAGGAATAATTTAATCTAACATGGATCTAGCCTTGAATTACCTGAGACGAACGGCAACTTGTATGTGCTGATTTTCCTGTTTGGCTTTTGGTAAAGGAGGCATCGTTATTTTACTTAGATATTATTTTAAACCGTGTTTGTTGATTGCGGAAACACTTTTGAATTCCGTGCTTCAAGCTATTAACCAATCACGTACAGTTAAACGATTTTGGAAAGAACATGATTGGCCAATTCAAAACAAGAATACCCCAAAGCAACAAAATAAAAAGTAACAAAATGCGACAACCAAATTCTGTAAGTGTAAAGTGCGAAAAGGATTTTTATAATTATCCATTATTAGAATATAGAATCCATGAAATTGATCATTATAAACCTTGCAGCAGTACTGTCGTTTAGCGTTCTTTTCTCTTAGATTTCGAAACGGACTACAGTACAGGTTCAACCAAACTCCTCACAGTGGTTACCTCCCTTGGCAGAATTGGAATACCAAAATTGCATTTTAGCATATATTAAGCACAGTGACTATGTTCCGGGGATTGGAAAGAATTAAATGATTTTTATTTTTCACTACAAGATAGCAGGGGGTATGGTGTCAGCAGTGGACCCTGATAAATACCTGCCTCAGAAAGTTGAAGGACGCTTGATTAAACCAAAGAGATTCAGTGACTGTGAAACCAAAAACATTATAAGAGTAGCCAATAACACTAGATCATTTAAAACCTTAAACACACAAACAAATCAATTTAAAAACTCCTTTTTTGTGAAAACACTTGAGGATTGGAACCATCTGGAAGATTCAGTGGTGCATGCAGTTACAATAGGGGGCTTCAAATCAGCCCTTCAGAAACTCGACTAGAGTTCCTCCACTCCCCGTAGGACATATACCAGAAGTGGTCCTCCTACGTATTCACACAGATACAGATACTTTTTTGGATAAAGAAGAAATTTTAATATCTGTTAGGCAGAATTAGGAACGTAGATCTACAATATGCATACTTGTCACGGTGAAATATAATATATACTTTATCTTTAATGTCAATTATCTTATGAAGATGAACTACAATTAATTGTAAGTAAGTGTAGTTCTAAGAGATAAATGTGTTCATTGCAGTTTAAGAGTTATAGATGTACAGTTAAATTAGTTGTGTCATACCTTAGCACGATTAGTTCGTGCTCACTGAACTTGAAGTGTATATGTAGGCCTAATTGACAGGCAGATAGATACGCCACTTGAGGACTTCGCATTGTATTGTACTGGTCGTATTGCCCACCCACTCATCCCTTCTTAGTCAAATTGTTCTCAATTAAAATACAAGACTGGGTAAATATAGAAGAAAACCAGGAGCACCGTGCATATCCAGTAACGCTGGAATGTGCAATGAACGTAAAAGTAACGCCGAATCTGTGCAACATTATTGCCAAAACGAATAACACAGTTAGTAAATGAACCAACATATTTTATTCTTAAACAAATTTATAGAAATAAATTAGCGCATTAGTGAGAAAGGCAACCTGATTACCGTTTTGAAGGTGGCTTTTGTGTTTCGTCAAATAAATGTACATTTAACACATTTAAAACTTTATTTTTTCGTATTCTGTACGCATAAGCCTTTTGTCAAACTACAAGTGTCGTATAACAATAGAAGGAAGCTTGTAAAATAGGATTTAGCTACTTTTAATGGGATAACCGCCGTTATACTTCAGCGCTTCATTCACGAATTCGGCGTTACCTCGTAAAATGGTCTCAATTACGTTTTATCTGCTTAATTATGTGTAATATGACACGAGTAGATTGGAAAATGTCTCAGGTACACCAAATATAAAAAAAAAACATAAAGAAATATGTAAGTTGTTGTTCCAATTTGGTGTACAATAAAAAATATTGGTCCATTTACTTATCGCGTTGCTCGTTTAAGCCACTAAATTGCACAAATCTGCGTTACTTTTGCACAATTTCTGCGTTATTTACACATTCCTGCGTTACTGGATATACACGATGAGGAGGGTAGAATCCCATTTCGATTTTTTTTAAAAAAAGCTTTGAATTTTTTATAAATGTTTAAAATGTTGAAAACTTATCCTGTGATTTACCTATTTTCTCCTTCACATATCGAGTTATACTGCACATATTGAGCAGCGGAAATTCACATATATTTTACCGATGCTCCATTTTGAGACTCATATGGGGTTCCACCACCGTGTGTCCACGGAATGTTATGATCATTGAAGTGAGGGTTATGTTTTACCTAGTTTTTATCAAGGACTTGTACGATTCCTTTCTGGAATATTTTCAAAATATATCTATTGTCAATCAAAGAATTTATTTAATACTACTGTGAGCATCTAAGGTATGCATACACAGAATATTGCACCAAAATATAAGCTGTTTAATTCTTTAAAAAAAATCATTAAAGCATGATTACCGAGTTCTTAGTACCGCATCATGATTGTGTCCGCACTTAAAATTGTGGCACCGTATACATTAAATACAATGGAAGAGTTAGGGATCGAACCCGTGACCTCTAAAATCAAACTATAGTGACTTAAATTCTTAAACACAGTGCCCACCGTAGTGCAGCAACATATATTATGACATATGTATGTGACAGCAACTTGAAGAAAGGATTCCGTATAGTAAAATCATTTTGATAAAGGAAAATGTTCATTAGTTGTTAGTGCAATTATTGCAAATAATACTCTACTCATACACCCATAACGCTTTGGTAAGACCACAATTAAAACTTGCCTTAAAGAAATTTTATTACTCGCAGGGCATGGCCGAGTGGTTTGCCCGTCGGACTTGTAATCCTAGGCTCGCTTGTATAGGCATAAGTTCGAACCCCGCCAGCGACCTTTCGGTGTTTCCTTGAGCAAGAATCATAATCCTTATTGCTAAGTCCTGGTTAGTCTTTGGAACAAATTCCTAGTTTATTTAATAAGCTGAAAGTAGCCTTCACAATCGAACTAAAATATATTTGTTAAGACTAATGTACAGGTGTAGTACTTAAGAAGAGCATCATGCTTTTCCATGAAGCATCAATAGTTCAATCAAAGCACTGAAAGTACTGAAGTATACATTGCTTGATAATATAATCCATTTTTGTCATCTCACTGACCTCGAAAACAATAGGGGTCATCTTCTGACCAAGGTTAATGTCCCTAACAAATGACTCACATGCACCAAGGCTTTTTTCTTCCAAAATTATTTATGAGACAAGGAAGATGTGATGTTCCATCTGTGTATTGCTATGCAAGCTGATAGATGAGCAATAAAGAAATCATTTTTTGAAACAGCCGTTAAATTGACTGCAGTATAGTATATTGAAACAGTCATATTGAGTCTCCAGTGATGCTATCCAATAAAATACATGATCTGGCTTGAACTCTATACAAAGTCAATTAATTGAATCATCCTACAAGGCTTAATTACCAAATTATAGTACGTCTATGTACTGTACTTTGATGCATTAATACATATATTCCGGTGTGTTGTACTAATATCTACACATTAATTTTCAAATGCATTACTTTATCGTTTATTAATAAAAATGAAATCTATAATTCAAAATGTGTATATTATTTTGTATCTTTAAACCGGTATTTTATCCAAGAATCCGCATTTGTCCACTTTTAATGCTCCACCATTTTGTCAAAAAAAAAAGAGAAGAGAATACGATGGAAATACAAGCGTTGTCATCTTGATAAAAGTTTTAAAGTTACATGACGCATAATTATTCAAAGTACATCCGTTGTTTATGTGTATGAAAAGTTATATTTATGATTAAATAATAATAAATATTTAAGTTATAATTAACGTCGTGTTTTTTATGCTTATGATTTGTTGTTTTATTTGTATGAAAGTAAATCATTTAATCATTTTTTGTTAATTAAACACATGGAATAAATAATCATATATATCACGGATTTATATTAATCTATATAACGGCCAAATCAAAATCAATTAGCCTAAATTAAAAGTGCGCTTCACGGAACATGCAAACTTTCCTTTAAAACTGTCAGTAATTGATTATTAGAGTCCAACAATAAATCAAATAACCATCAAAAACCCATTTCATCAAATAACCATCAAAAATTGTTTATATTGCTGAATTTAATCACAGCCTTAATATTTCTTTGTATTTTAAGTGTTTTTCGGTATTTTTTGGTGTTTTTCGGTGTTTTTCGGTAATTCCATGCACCCATTAATATAAGCAGATTAAAATAATTCCTATTTTCTGAACATAAATTTAATGTATTTATTTCTTAATGCTTACACTGATTTACAGTTAGTTTCAAATGATTATTTCTTATCGTCGAATCTGGCCACATATGATTATGCCTATATTTAGCTCCGTGCTCTGGCTTAATCGTCAATATCCCAAGTTCGACGAATTGTTATGGGTCGAACGGTCGAGCGGCCGAATCTTTATTTTTACCCGTACTGAATCACAGACGCTTGGGGGTCAGATCCTGCCCCCCCCCCCCCACGTGATACGCCCCTGTAAACACTCTACCAAAACCATTTTAATATTTAAACACGAATTGTACATCTGTTACAACGATAAAAATGGTTTTCAAACAATTTTAACGTATATGAAAAAAATACCGTATACCATCAAGTCTCAATAAAGTATCGTCCCATTTATATAATTCTGACGACTTTACTATATTTACGATGTATTCATTCATGCTATCCAGCGCATGCGTATATGCGAAGTTTAACGCGTAGGTATAAACTACAATTTTATCAATGAACTGTTATTTTTTGTTTTTTAAAGGAATGTAGAGTCTATTACTTCATGAAAATGAACGATTTTGAACTTTCAAAGAATTTAAACAACTATTTTAATGATGTGTAGTCGGAATGTAACGCGGGTACTTCAGAATTAAGAACTAGTTTCTGTTGTTCGGTAACGCATAAACCTGTATCTATTTCTGAGATATAGCTTATAACTCTGTATACATTGCAAGCAATGTATACAAAAACGATTTATACATTGTAGCGCAAGTTTGATAATACATTGTAGTCTATCAATAAAATGTACGAGCATGCCGACAGAGAAATTAATACAGGCAATTTTACTCAAGCACATAGTTGCCGCATTTCTTACAGGCCCATAATGCCTCTGAAATGCTAACATTTTTATTTCTTGATGGTATCTTGTTACAGTTTCCTAAAACATACTCAATAGCTACATATATGAACTATCTTTTGCATCTTTAGTTCTGTTGGCAATTGGTATAATTATAGTGAATTAGTATTTTGTATGGCAGTCAAGTTTACATATTGCTACCTTAACAACACATCACTTTATATTCAGCGCTACATTTTTCAGTTGTAAAACACCTAACAGATGCTTTATCCATTATTTAAACATCATTAAACACATGTTTGACATTTCTAAAGAATTAAAACATGGATTTCTGGGGACTATTGGGCTTTTAAAGGATCGTCTTATTATGCTCCTCGAAGGGTGAACATATAGTCGCCGCTTTGTCCGTCCGCCCGTCCGGGTCCGGGTCATAACTCTAAAGGTGTAAGAGATAACAACATGAAACTTTGTAGGTAAATAGATCTCATTGGATAGAAGTGCAGTGCAAAAGAACCATAACTCTGTATTGCCTAATTGAGTTATTGTCCTTTGTTCATTTTCACTCTTTGAACTTTGGCTGTGACATAACTCTGACACTACAAGAGGTATACTTACCTGTGTCCAAAACCTATTCGAGGAGCATCACCCGGTTCAAACGGTTCTTGTTTCAGTAGCATGCAACTTTGAGAGTTTTAATAGGAATTTATCTTTCAAAAATTACAGAGGGGGCAGATTGCTTCCAGGTCCAGGCAATCCCGTGCCCTGTTTACCCTAACTGGTATCACTAACCTTTACCTTTTCTTGTTCGACGGTGACATCCATCCTAGTCAAAATATATTGACGTGCCAAAGCTTGATTCTGAGATATTTTTGTTCTGGGGCAGAATCTCGCTTTAAGAGGCGAGATATTGCCCAGACACGAAAATAGCACAATATCTAGTCGCGCAGTACAATTAGTTGGACTAACTGGAACCTATGGTCATAACTTGTAAAATCTTTGTAATTGAACTTAAATGCATAACATCTAAGATTTTCTTAATATTTTGCTAAGTTTCTAGATAATGAATTAAAACTACTTCATGCAGTTTCTCTACAAATGACATAAACAATATCAGAACTTCTTAAAGGGGATATTGAATGAGTGTAGGTTTATTTACTTCAATTACTGTACAAGTTGATTAAATGCGAGCCTCTGCCAAGTTAAAAAAATTTTTAAGTATTAAATCTTATACACAGATAATATTCTCTTTATCACATATTCAAAATAAGAACAAGAGCCATTTTTCTTTGGCACGCCTACAGATTAGCATGCTTTAAATCTATATTTGTATATAACACAAATGATGTCACATCAAAGTGTTTTTACACTTATGCAATAGCCTTTTTATTAAATGGGTCAATTACACACCATCCTGCATTGCGGTTTATGTGGTACAATAATATATTACATTAGTTTTTAAGTTTTTTTCCCATTTGTTGCTAATATGGCAACTAAATTAGCCATCAATGAAACCCAAAGATCAACATCAAAGAAAAATTTGGTTGGTGAGGTGTTTAGTTGAAACTGGCTCGAAGTAGTAAAGTAGTTGTCTTTGAAAGCAAATTTTTGCTGGATCAAGTCAGACATCAAAAATATGTGTACCTTACAATAAAGCGTCACTCTGGTTATTTGAAATAATGACCTAAAGGCATAGCTAAATATAGGGACTGCATCGGATTTATAATCAAGGTGTCACTGCATTAATTTTACAGAATTTTTATGGGGAAACTTCCCTTAATTGGCCCCTGTTTGAAAAGAACCCTCCTCCAAACAATGTAAACTGCAGTATTTTTCATTTGAAAATTTTGTTTTAATATTTGATGTGTTTTTATTTCAATTTCCTTTCTCTCTCCTCCCCCACCCCCCCAAAAAAAACATACATCCATATTTATTTTATGATTTTGAGTGGATTACTGATTTATCTGTGAAAATTATATTTGATATAAATAAGTGGATGGATGGGGGTAATTTACAACAATTGCAATTTAATTAAACTTACAAAAAGTAGCACTGCTAGGTGAGTGAGTATACAGAGTATACAGGGGCAGTGAGTATACAGTATATTGCATCTTTAAAAAGAAATCTCATACTGCCAATAAAACAATCATTAGCAGGGGCACATATCAACATTAGAACAGTGAACAGCTGTCGGCCTGATGATAAAATACAGTTCTTTTGAAATATAATTTTCAAAAACATTACTTACAAGCTTTAATTGTGTTCATGCCGTAGACCTTTTCGTGCTTACTATCAGTGTGCATAGGCACTTGGTTTTAGGATAAAATGAAATTATACGCGGAAAGTCCGAGCGGGGCCGAAGGCCCCGCGAGGGCTGTAGCGCTCTTAGATAACATGTATGACGCGTATCAGTTTAAAGGAAATCAAATTCAAACTATATGAAAATTTCAAAAAAATATATATCCTATACCTAATGGGCTGCGAAAAAATCCTTAGTTAACTGGGCGCCGCCATTTTGAAATTCTTTTGAACGCTTTTAATGAGCGTCTACATAATTCAGACTATTGCAGACGCATGCTTAGTAACACTTCCGGTGAAAGAATGATGTACAAAATCAGAAAATAAACCTGCATTTCATTGATAAGAATTATAGTAACGACTATAAATATAAAAAGTTATTCAAACATATCCTTTTTGATAAATTAGCACATTAAAAATAACGTAAAAACAACAACTGTGATTAGAGATTAACAAAAATGGCGGACGGGATTTTCCAAACGCCGACGCATGCGCAGAGGTCCGGAGTTTTTCGGAATAGGCCGAGCGTTTCCGGTGATAGGTTGAACACCACCAATTTATACGTTTTGTTTATTCAAAAAAGATCTGGTTTACAAGTACACTAAATATGTTATGCTAAAATCATAATTCATAAGAGCTTTCCGCGCCATAGGTAGCACCTAATTTCATATTAGTTTTGTAGAACTCAAATATAATTGAATGTTACAATTTTTTAACGTAGATGATCATGTCTCTTTTCTAAAACCGTCATTTTTCCGATATTGCACAACCAGCACTTGCAGTGCTTTGATTACTTCAGTTTAGCGGAAAGGACCGAAAAGTCGCGATTGCAGCAGATTTATTTCCTTGCTTTCCGCGGGGAAGAGTATTCGCGTCCCAATGGCGGACGCATGAAGTTTGTAGAGAAACCGGCTCTATAAATCCGCTGACATCGAAAATAATTAGCAAACCTGCTTAAGATAACCTAAACTTTTCTCATAATATACACATTCTCCAGCCTTTGCAAGATGTACGGGCAGGATGAAGGTACATTTATTGAAATAATTCGCTATTCCAGCTATAATTTCACAACAAAACAAATAAATCACGTAATTAGGTCAACTCATATTTATGATATAATTTCGTAGTAAACTCATGACATTGGCTTAAGAAGCTTTTATAGTAGATTGAAAATATGCTCTGACAATAATTAAGTCCATTCAAATTATGAAATGAAAAGAATCTCGTATTTTTATTCTTTCTTGTTTCAACTCTGCCAGCTTTGCAACACACATAGTGACATAGTTTTCTTCTTGTATATATGGATTGTTAAGCTGCACATACATCAGACATTACAGATTTTGCTTCAACATTACTGGACACTTTATGGGGCGTCCGTGGCCGAGTGGTTAAGGTCGTTGACTTCAAACCACTTGCCCCTCACCGCTGTGGGTTCGAATCCCAACAGGGACTTTGGATTATTTCATGTGAGGAAGCTATCCATCTAGCTTACGAAACGTCAGTGGTTCTACTCAGGTGTCCGTTTGTGCCTGAAATAATGCACGGAAGGGCACCTCAGAGGTCTTCCTCCACCAATGAAAGCTGGAACGTTGTGATATGACCTATACTGTGTCAATGTGACGTAAAACCTAATCAAAACAAACAAACTAGACACATTCACTAGTATGGCAGGGGTCAGAACCAGCCCCAGACAGCCGTCTGACATTTCAAAAAAGGATTACCTAGTTTTGGTCACAAATGACCCCAGTGTAGGGTCCAGGCACCGTTACAACCCCCTTTGATTTGGGTAAACTACCATTTTAGTTTTTTAGCATATGATTCGTTTTTATAAATATATCCTAAAAGGTCTATTTTCTGCATGTGATTTATATATATCATGTCTAATCATTTTTTATTGTAGCCGTTTTATCTTTGTTGATCTTATAATTTATGTTATAAACAGTCGGTTATAAAAGCTCCTAGAGCTAATGTTGTACTGTTGAAAACTTGCCGACTTGAAATAAAACTTATCTTATCTTATGTGGTCAGATTTTCTTCCCAGGTCTGATACTCATGCCTGTGCACTGTTGATACAGTCTGTGAAATATTAAAGGCACGGGCCAGTGGCATGTAAAATCCCATTCAGGCCTGCAAAAATCAAAAGAGCGTAACTTGCAGGGTTGTCATTAAGAGGCGGCAGGAGGCCAAAATGCCTGTCTCAAATGCATTATGGGCCGCCTCAAAATTAAGAAAACACTCTTTGTTATGCATGATAAAGACAGAAATGACCGCCTCAAATTCAAAACAAACCTTCTTCAAAAAATGTTAATGACAACCCTGCGTAAGCCCTACGGGTGTTTAATACAGAATGTGTTTTCATAACAAAGTTAGTTTCATTTGCAAAATATTTCTGAAATTGTTGTTTAGTTGCTTATACAGGGCATTTTTTGTCAAAATTGTGAAGGGGCCTGGGCCTGTTCATTTTGTGAAAAAAGCGCGATATGTCATAAAATTGTGGAAAAAAAGACATACTACTTGGCATTTCGCGATATTAAAAAACCGGAAACAGTTTATAATTTCTGATCTGTGTAAATCTGCTTCAAGTCAGTACATTAACCCGGAAAAACATGCACAAAAACCATTTAACTTGATTAAAACTATTTGTGTTATTGCAATTGGCATAAATCAAGTTTTTTCCCCGTAAGGTAAAGTATTTCGAAGACAAAGTCCCAACAATTTGTGAAATCTCTTTTGAAATTGTGAATTTTTTTCTGCCACTTTGTGAAAAAAAGTACAATTTTGAATTGTGAAGGGGCCTTATATCGGCCCCAGTTATAAGGAAAAAATGCCCTGTCATACATCAGACATTACAGATTTTGCTTCAAAATTACTGGACACTTACGTTGAATAGTCAACAGAAAAAGAGAATTTTATTGAAAAGTGTCTGACTGATTTTCCGTACATCTGTGCCTAAATAGAACCTTGTTGATGTGAATAAAACATAAAATAAACTGTTGTCTTTATTTTGCACAATACATTTTTTAATGTTTTGGGCATATGATAATCTGTCCTGGCCTTTACTTTTGGCTAGGTTGAAGGCCCAAATGGCCTATTATCTAATAAAGTTATTTTGCAGACTGTTAATAAATGCACTGTGGTGTAGAATACTGGGATCTCTTCTAGTATTGCATTTACAAGATCTATGCAAAATCTACCAATAAATTGTACATTATGGTATCATAAATTAATAAGCATTGGTTCATATTCCATCTCAAAAATAATTTATAAATTAAATATTCTGTCGATTGACATGTTTACGTTTTGTGTTTATGGTGGTATAAAAAGTTAACACTGGTCCTTTTCTTTTACTTTTACAGAAATGTTTGAAGCGGAGGATGATAATGATGAGATCACTGCTGCTCTGTGGCAAGAGGCGTGCTGGATTGTCATCAGTGCATACTTTGATGAGAAAGGTTTAGTTAGACAACAACTTGACTCGTTTGATGAGTTTATTCAGATGTCTGTACAGAGGATTGTTGAAGATACCCCTCAAATTGAACTGATTGCTGAAGCTCAACATAAAGCTGGTGTTGTTGAAACACCTGTAAGTATTGTACCAATAGACATTGTTATTCCACAGAATTTTATGATACATCAGGGGTTTACTTAAGGTTTTTGCTTTCACTTGCCCAAAGGGCAAGTAACTTTTAAAATCTACTTGCCCCCAGGAAAAACAGGTTGCCCGATCTTAATGTGAAGATTTTTAATAATCAAAGCAAAAATTATGGGTAAAAATAAGATTTGTTGCAGATCCTATCAACTTATGCCTCAGATAGTAAAATAGTCCTATTAAATTCCCTACTGTATATGTTTATTGCTAATTCACAATAGTCTAGGGGTCGACACAATTTTGCCAGGGATCCAATAGAAATCCCTGAGATTTAATTTAGAAAAACTCCTAAATGTCAGGGATTATCCTCACATCAAAATAGTAAAATGAAAGTGAAGATTAACAATAGTCATGATCTGTTAAGGCTTATAAAAATTACAGGTAATAATTAGGCCCTATTCCAGGTGCCTTTAAAATATATTCACATTCAGATGCTATCACCTTATTACAACTTTAAAAAGGAAACAGTACATCGATTGTTGAAAATTGTGATAGGATTTAAATGTTTATTGATGATTTCAAACAATGTAAAATATCAAAATATATGTTTGCTTTGTTTGCATTACCAAAAACTAGTTATGTACCTTTCAAATTTATTTCATTTTTAAAAACAACAAGTTGCTCCAAGTCCATGACAGGATGTGTTATACTCAATTTAAATTGATCAGTCTGATTCCTATCCTCCCTGCTTGTATTGAAATTTATTTGAAGTTTTAACATCTGTCACATCAAAGGGACTCACCGCATGCAGTAATCATACAGTTTAGAGCACTGACTGGTTTCAAAGAACTGTCAGACGAAATATACGTCATTTGCTGTATGTTTCACCAAAGGAGATTTTTTCTGTTTTGGTCGTAAATTAGGCATGACCTAGAATGACCTCAGATAACTTATAGTTACACAATATGCTGTGATTTACCAAAAAGGATTTTAAACATTTTATGGATTATTTTATTCTGTTTATTAATAGATCTAGAATATTTTTAAACATTGCTGTAGGGGAGAAAGGAAAATAAATTAACAACAGTTCAAGACTATTGTGATTTTTCGTCAAGATTTGTTGTAAAAATGTTTACTGGTGACGAATTTTAAAAAAATTCTATAGGCCTATTGCAAATTTGACGCCAGTTAGTTAAATTCTGACCGTATGAAGAAAACAATAGCGTACAGGATTCAAAGGAGTAGATTTTTACGGCCCAATGTTTCTGCTTCTTTCTTGAACCTTGCAGTTGTGTCAGTCTTTATTGACATAACTCATCTTGAATTTTTTGATTTTATGCTTTTTTTATTCAGAAAATCAAGATAATTTCTTTGCCGTGGCTTTTTCTTTTAATCGCTGCAAGACTTTTTTTCTTTTAAAAATGGGAAAAACTTTCAGCGCCGCCCGCCATTTTGAAAGGAAAGCAAAATGGAAAAAGTTTTTTTTTACGTAATTTGATTGGTTGATAGGAGTCCAACTACAATCAGAAACAGTTAAAATACACTTGTTTGACTGTAATATGAACGGAAAGAAAAGTATTATCGGCAAAGGATATCAATGCTAATAGAAGGCATAACGAAAATTCACTTGCCCGCCGGGCATTTGCTTTCAAATTTCACTTGCCCGCAGCGATTTCTACCCGACGCGGGCAAGCGGGCGTCCGCTTAAATAAACCCCTGTTTAACATATGATACTTATCCTCACAGACTTCACTCTCTCTGTTTTGGAGAACAGTACCTGTTGGAGAGGAATTGTTTTTTCCTTTCATGGTGAATTTCAAGTAAAAATATTCTTGTTATGTATTTTATTTAAAAAAAAAAAGAAGAAGAAAATTTCAGTAATATATTCAGGAATGGCAAAATTTAATTTTGACTCATTTGTCTGCTTTTATCTGAGGCAATTTCTTTACTTGTCAGTCTTCTTTTCATAAAGTAAATTCTGGAAATATTTTACTTAGGCAACCTAGGAATTACAAACATTTAATTTTGCCAATACTTAACTTATATTGTAAAAGGTCCCCTGCTTTTGGCAAGGTGTAGGCAGGTAAAATTAAAGAAATAATATAAATTTTTGCTGAAACTAGGGGAGAGGATCAGAAACTCTGCGCCAAAGTTCATTAATTCAGGGTTCTGCCTCTTGATTTGAAGAAATCTGTTTTTCCACAGGAGGTGGAATATTTAATCATATACCAAGTTGAGGATATGTTTACAAAATTATATTTAACATGGTATCTCTGAAAATGTTTAAATAATACTATTGTAGTACTAGTAAGTACTAAGGTTTTTTGCTGAGGTTTTATTATGCCCAGCCCCCACTTCGAAGAAGAGGGGGTATATTGCTTTGCACTTGTCGGTCCGTCGGTCCGTAGACCAAATGGTTTCCTAGTCATAACTAAAGAACCCTTAGGCCTAGGAACTTCAAACTTGGTATGGTGATTGGTCATGACCAGTAGATGACCCCTATTGATTTTGGGGTCAAGGGGTCTAAGGTCAAGGTCACATTGACCTTGTAAGCAAAAATGGTTTCCGATCAATAACTAAAGAATGCTTAGGCCTAGGAACTTCAAACTTGGTATGGTGATTGGTCATGATCAGTAGATGACCCCTATTGATTTTGGGCTCAAGGGGTCAAAGGTCAAGGTCACATTGACCTTTTAGGTAAAAACGGTTTCCGATCAATAACTAAAGAATGCTTAGGCCTAGGAACTTCAAACTTGGTATGGTGATTGGTCATGACCAGCAGATGATCCCTATTGATTTTGGGGTTAAGGGGTCAAAGGTTAAGGTCACATTGACCTTGTAAGCAAAAATGGTTTCCGATCAATAACTTGAGAACCCCTTGGCCTAGGGACTTCAAACTTGATATGGTGATTGGTCATGATCAGTAGATGACCCCTATTGATTTTTTGGGTCAAGGGGTCAAAGGTCAAGGTCACATTGACCTCTTAGGTAAAAAAACGGTTTCTGATCAATAACTAAAGAACGCTTAGGCCTAGGACCTTCAAACTTTGTATGATGATTGGTCGTGACCAGCAGATGTCCCCTATTGAAATTTTGGGTCAAGGGGTCAAGGTCAAGGTCACATTGACCTCTTAGAAAAAAAAAAACGGTTTCTGATCAATAACTTAAGAACGCTTAGGCCTAGGAACTTCAAACTTGGTATGGTGATTGGTCATGACCAGCAGATGACCCCTATTGATTTTGGATCAAGGGTACAAAGATCAAGGTCACATTGACCTTGTAGGTAAAAACAGTTTCCAATCAATAACTAAAGAATGCTTAGGCCTAGGAACTTCAAACTTGGTATGATGATTGGTCATGATCAGAAGATGACCCCTATTGATTTTGGGGTCAAGGGGTCAATGTCATATTGACCTCGTACTTAATGACGGTTTCTGACCAATAACTCAACAACTCAAGTTGCCTTGGTTGATATTTTTATATTAAACTAAAAATGCTTTTGGTATACACATTTGAAGGTCTGATGTAATATAACAACTTGGCTGTCATTAATGAGGCCTACATGATTCATAAGATTTATGCATATATTATTTGGTAAGATTTGTAATGACTTAAATTGCTGCACACAACCTATGGGGTCACAATAATTATTACCTTGTGACTAGTCATGACCAGTAGATACTAGATATTAAACCCTTATTTAATTGTTTGTTCACTGGGTCAGAAGTCATGCATAATAACCTGATCACATAACTAATTGGCTGCCGATAGGGGCATACATGTTTTACAAACATATCTTGTTTATACAGTCCCTTAAAAATTATCTCTCTTTTTTTTCTTCAGCCGCAATATTTATTGAAGTTTGAGCAAATTTATTTATCAAAACCAACACATTGGGAAAAAGATGGAAGTCCAAGTCCCATGATGCCAAACGAGGCCAGACTTAGAAATCTCACGTAAGTTACAATATAAATGTACCTTCACTGTAGAATAAAACAATTACATGTATTTCGTGAATAAAAGGGAAAGCCTTAAATAAGTTAGACCAAAATAATAAACATGCTTGTTCTCCTTGATACCCAGTAAAATGCTATTGTAATACAAGACTTCTATTAATTAAGATCCAAAATTTGCATGGTCTTTATTTTTTTATGTCCTCAAAGTCTTCTGTAGACTGTATTATAATGTACATAGAGTCAGTTATTAAAAACAGACTTTTTTGTCTAGGTTTTATTTTTTTTAATTTGTCAGTTTAAGTTTTATCCTACTTTTGCATTCATTGTGAATACTATTTGTTTTCCTTTCTGTAGATATTGTGCCCCTCTGTATGTAGACATTACAAAGACTGTGGTTAAGCCAGATGAGGACCCAGTTGAAACTCAACATCAGAAAACTTTTATAGGAAAGATACCAATTATGTTGCGGTCAACATATTGTCTATTGAGTGGCCTGACTGATCGTGATTTGACTGAGTTGAATGAATGTCCCCTAGATCCAGGGGGATATTTCATAATCAATGGGTCAGAGAAGGTGCTTATAGCACAGGAGAAGATGGCAACAAATACTGGTATGTATCTCACAATTTGATCGTCTCACAGTAGATAGACAAGTTTAAATATTTAGGCTCATATTAAAGAAAGGTATTGTGATCAAAAGTAGCAGGTGCCTGTTATCTCAAGACATAGTATATAATGTATTGTATAGGATTGCCAGACAGTGGTTTCATCCACTGAGAGCCTTTGTTTCAAATTAAAGGATACAAGATGTTTTATTGCAGCATTGTGAGATAATCTTTAAGCCTTTATAACTATCCTTTTAAAGTCTTGGTAGTAATACCTTTTATGAAAAAAAGTTTCAGGCTCAACTTATAATCCCTTGTTGAACAGGCACAGAAATTTATTATTTCACTTACACAAGACATGGCACACATTATTTTTGATCAATCTTTAAAATTACAGTTAAACTTAACAACAAAGTCCACCCATGGGGAAAGTGTAAAAATGGCATTTGTTCAAAGTGACCTTTGTTTGGGGGATATAACCACTATGTTTGATGAGCATTTTTAAACTCCTCTCATATGCACATACTGCTTACTAAAATACAATTCAATTATTTGTATGAAAGATGAAAATACAATACAAAAAATCTTAATATACTAAGTCACCTTTTCATTTCAAAAATGAGTTTCAATAGTGTAAGCAAATACTTATAAATCAATACTTTATCTGTTTTCCAGTGTATGTATTTAGACAGAAGGACTCAAAGTACGCCTTTAAGACAGAGATTCGATCTTGTCTAGAGCATTCTTCAAGACCTACTAGTACACTTTGGGTGAACATGATGGCCAGGGGTGGTCAGGTAAATATACTTGTTATTATTATGAAAGTAGTCAGGATTGTTATGAAAGTTGTTGTTTTTGTAAGAAGAAAAATACCAAGGTATTGTTTTGGCCAATTTTATAGTTTATATTATATCATATTTCTGATTGGAAATCTTTTTTCGCTAATTTTGTTCAACCAATTGCAATCAAGACAGTTTTGCAAAAGGTGGTCTTGTTTTAGTAAAAAAAATTCAATTGCAGAAAGTAAGGCCATGTTCCCAATATAATGAGAAATAAGAAATCCCCTTAAAGATTTCAAAAATGTCTTATCTATTTCAGCATTTGAATTTTGCAGTGAAAATGATCTCTTACTTAATGAATCAGTGGTTGATAATTTTTAACATATTATGTAACTTGCTGTTAAACTTAATACAAATTTCTTTTAAAAGTTGTGAATATTACTTATTCAAATGAACAAAGAAAAAAAAAGTGTTTTGTCTTAGTATATTGAATCGAATTTATTTAGGAGTTGAAATATTATATTTAATCATAAGTGATTACATGAGGGCAGAGAAGGACTTAGAGAAACCATGCATCGCTAACTAATAAGTTGAGATTATTTATTACATGCGACTAGTTTCTATCATAACAATGATCTTCATCAGGAACTTAATCATTACATGTTTAATTATTTTGATAGGGTGCTAAGAAGAGTGCTATTGGTCAGAGAATCATTTCTATCCTACCATATATTAAACAAGAGATCCCGATCATTGTTGTGTTCCGGGCTCTAGGCTTCGTGTCCGACAGAGATATTCTAGAACACATTATATACGACTTTGACGACCCCGAGATGATGGAAATGGTATGTAGCCTAGAACTTTGCCTTGGTTATTTAATCTGAATAAAATCAAAATTTGACATCTTTTTTTATTGTGCGATTTACATTTGTTGCATTTGCATACTGCCTTTCCCTGTTGATCTTATTTTTCATATTTGATATGTTATAACAATTTGCTTTTCTCTAATGATTTAAGTAAAACCGTTTTCTCTAATAATTGGATTGAAACTGGTTCCTCCTCTCATGATTGAAGTAAAATTGATTCCTCTATTGATTTCAGTGATATCCATTGGAATATTAAGCAGGTAACTATTGGTTAATAGCTCAGCAATATTCATGTGAATAATGACAGTAATATTGATATATATAAAAGTGTTGATTGGAATCGTTTTTTATTTTTTTCAGGTAAAACCATCACTTGACGAAGCCTTTGTCATCCAGGAGCAAAATGTTGCCTTAAACTTTATTGGTGCACGTGGTGCTAGGCCTGGTGTCACAAAGGAAAAGCGAATTAAATACGCACGAGAAATCTTACAGAAAGAAATGTTACCTCATGTAGGTGTCAGTGACTTCTGTGAAACTAAGAAAGCTTATTTCTTAGGGTAAGGCTTTTTCTTTTCATATTCAGGGGTCTCATTATGGCCCTGAAACAAGGTCAACTGTTGTATTTAAATAACTGCTTTTGGGATGGTACTTGATATATCTGCTTTCTGTAAGAAATGATATACAATTTAATGCCAGTATATTTCTATAGTCCTGTTCCCTTATTAAACTTATTAAGATTTTGACTATTATTACCCTGAAGATAGGATAAATGTAAATTTTACTAACTTTATTTGATATAACAGGATGATTTATTTTCTATTTTCATACAGGTATATGGTACATAGATTATTACTGGCAGCTCTAGGAAGAAGAGAGGAGGATGACAGAGATCACTATGGTAACAAGAGGTTGGATCTTGCTGGTCCCCTGCTTGCCTTCTTATTTAGAGGGTATGTATGATACTGTACTAGAAGATCTCAGACTGATTATAGATTAGAAACTGTTTTAATAGTTAAGATCATTACCATTTAGTGAAGTATCGAAACAGAAGCTTTGGTGCTTAGTATTGATCTCTTATTCAAATTTTGAAAAGAATGATAAAGCTTACCAAGAATTGTCTTCACTGACCCGATTGAGATTCATCCAACCACTACAGTAGATTCATTACATTTATCAGTTGTTTTGTACATACAGGATATATGCTAGGATTTATACATTTATAAGAGACACTGGTTTGATGAACAGTCCTCTTTTAAAAGCACTTTTATAATTATTTATGTGAATCTAAATTTGTAATATAACAATAAAGAGAGATAGCTCAGCACCTGTGAATTATCCCTTTATATAAAGCACATGCCCTGCTTGGAACCATTAAGGATATGTCAAAGATACTAAATTATAAATACACTACAGACAGTGTGCAGGCTAGTTTGACTTGTCAATACCATAGTTCTTGTCTGATTTTTATATTCAGAAAAGGGTTAGAACTGCCATAGTCTGTTAAAAAACTTGCTACAAAGTTCATTAGAAGTTTTATAGATACATAAAAGTAATTTGAAAATAGTTCTCACGTCATATTATATCTGGTTATTTTCATTCTTTTCTTTTTTTGCAGACTATTCAGAAACCTTACAAAGGAAGTAAGAATGTATGCTCAAAAGTTTATTGATAAAGGTAAAGATTTCAACTTGGATTTGGCCATCAAGACTAGGACTATTACAGATGGTCTCAAGTATTCACTGGCTACAGGCAACTGGGGTGATCAGAAAAAAGCTCATCAGGCTCGAGCTGGTGTCTCGCAGGTAAACAAAAATATGTCAATGTGCTATGCTTCAAAAACATTTGAAATGAAGGAACCTAAACAGTAAATGTAAACATGAGCATTGCATTTAAATTTATACATTATTTGTTTGTTTACCCCTTTGGTAAAGTACAAAGTTGTTGAAAAAAATTATACTTGAAAAAAATGCTATATGATTATCAGCATTTGATGTTTACCTCTTATGTAAATGGAACAATGCATTGAATTAGTTTGATTTAAAAAAGTAATTTTATCAAAGTTTTTCTAAAACTTTGTGTCAGATTTTCATGATGTTGTTTTACATAATCAGTAGAGTTTGTAATGATGTTTATCAAATAAATGTTATGTAAAAATGGTTTTCTTAATGACAGGTGTTGAACAGACTTACATTTGCCTCAACATTGTCACATTTACGACGACTGAATTCACCGATAGGACGTGATGGTAAACTTGCACGTCCTAGACAGCTACACAACACTCACTGGGGTATGATCTGTCCTGCTGAAACACCAGAGGTTTGTTTACTTTGCAGAAAGAGTTTTCTTTTAGTATACTGCTTGATTGTCATAATATTTCAATGTTCATTGATGTCACTCTCTGTAGCAAAGTTGTGATTTTTTTTATTACATAGAGGATATTTGTTTGTTTCAGTGTAAGATCGAAAAATATTGAACCGAGTGAACACCAGATGCAATATTTTTCACGAGTGGCGTAGCCACGATGAGTGAAAATATAATAGCTGGGGTTCACGAGTGAAATATTATTTGATCTTACATGTAAAACAAACAAATTTTCTGTTTATTTCATGATTTTTTAACGATTTTTACACCATTTTACTGATTTTTGCCGCGTAAAGTCATGCTCTTATCTTCATGACGTCATCAAAAAATGACGTCACAATGTTGAAGCAAAATATAATTCCATGATTATTTTTAGATTTTAGATGTTTTTCAGCACAACGTTCGTAAATATTTACGAACTACAGTTATCACGTACATTTTTTATTATGATTGACTACATTTCCGCTGAAAAAAACATTCATTAATGATAAATATTTTGTTTTTACGCCAAATATAGTTCGGCTACTGTGAAATTATATTTGGTAATCATTACTGTGAAATTATCAGAATATAATTAACCGTTATAATTCAGTAATCTACTGCAAAACATGTAATAAAATGTAATATTGATGCAAAAAGTGATATAAGCATAATTTGTATCATATTTTGGAGACATTCTATTGAAAATGTGTCAGAGTTAAATTTTTGTACCCAAAAGTGCACGGTGTGTTAACTGGAGTGCAGGGATTAGTTATCCGCACTCTTGTTACCGCACTGTCTGTCTGTCGAGGATTAACATAGAGCATGCTCATTGATTGGTTACATTCTTCTGAGGTTTACTTATTTTGACAAGGAAAAAGATAATGATAGAAAAAATCATATTCAGATGCACTTACATTGGTTCATATATTCTGGGTTTCATATTGTGACGACATGGAACATGTTTTATTTTTGTCTATGATACAAATGATAAAGAACATCAAAACACTACACTTAGCCTCCAAGTACAAATCAGAAAGCCTCATGTGTCCGTGCTCTTTCTATTTCTAAAAACCACGAAACCTTGAGTTAACATAAGGTAGGAAGCATTCATATATATTTTTTCAATACACTTACTGGATTAAATTTAGAAATCATAATCATGAACAGGGTTGGCATTGACATATATGTATTTCTGATATTTGGTTTTAGGGTGGTGCAGTAGGTCTTGTGAAGAACCTTGCCTTGATGTCATATATTTCTGTAGGATCTCAACCTTCACCTATCCTTGAGTTCTTGGAGGAATGGAGCATGGAAAACCTTGAGGAGGTAGCCCCATCCTCCATCGCAGAGTAAGCTTTATGATTTCATTATTGGCCTTAACAAGATTTGTTCCTTCCATGTTTACAATACAATATATTACAGTATGTATAAAATGCAAACAGGATTGAGAAGAAAGCTTAAATTTATATGGAACTCTCACCTGGAAAGAACATTTCAACATATTTTAGTAATAAAGTGTAATAAATTCTGTAATAACAGTTCATTGTCCCTGCATTTAATTCATAACATAAATTGACAAGAAGATAATAAATAACTACACTTAAGAAAGTAAATGATTGTAAAGACCATGTCCTATGTCTTCAGTATAATGTCATATTCTGAATAATGTCATAGGAAAATTGACATAAATAGGTAGAAAAAGAGGAAAAGAAAGTAAAGTAGTCATTGTGGTATAATGAGATTTTTAGGTCCTGAGTAAGAGACCTACAAGAATTAAAGCCGTTTTTGCCCTAAACATTTTTGATAATGTCTCATAACTGCAAATGGATAAATTTTGTAAGGTATGTTTAAATAAAGTTGTTGTAACATTAAGTAGAGATACTAAAAAGGCATGCCTGATTTAGATTATTGCTTTTTGCACTATAAATTCAAAGTTAATCCAGCTTTATTATAATTTTATAACATGTAAAATGTTCCAAGAATTCAAACAATGACTAATAATTTTATTTATTATCTAGTGCCACCAAGATTTTTGTGAATGGTTGTTGGGTTGGTATCCATAGAGATGCAGAACAGCTGATGACAACATTGAGGAAATTGAGAAGAGAAATGGACATCATTGTCTCTGAGGTACAGCTTTATATTTGATCTCTTCCATGCTGACCATGTTTGCTGACTTCGATGTCATTTTGGTGGAATTATGATCTTTATCTAGTTAGAAATATTGCCTACAGAATTAAAAAGATTCTTTTTTCAAATTAACAAAGGAGTGGTAAATTTAGAGCATGGATTTAGTCCTGCATGTTCTGTTATGTACAGACGTATCTGAAAGTATGCATTGGGATAGAAAGTAAAGCTCTAAGGTTGCATTATCTTCAAATGACATTTGAGTTTAAGAATTTAACACTTTTATGGACATTGTTTCAAAAACTTTTTTTATTTTTAAGAAGTTGAATACTGTTGATATCACTGTCACAATGGTTATATTTCCAGGTATCAATGATCCGAGATATAAGAGACAGGGAGATTCGTATATATACTGATGCTGGTAGAATCTGTCGTCCATTATTGATTGTAGAAAATCAGAAATTACTCCTGAAACAAAGTCATATCAAACAGCTGAAACAGCGGGAATATAACAACTACAGGTAAATTAAAACATTATATTAACCATTTTAATGCTAGTGGTGAATTAACAGACCATTTAATACCAGAACTAAGCTAACCTGGATATTTATACCCCCGCACAACAAAGTTGTAAGGGGGGTATACTGGAATCATGTTGTCCGGCTGTCCGGCCGTCCGTCGGTTTCTTCTTGTCCGCCCAATAACTTAAGATTCCTTTGACCCACAGTCTTCATATTTGGCATGGAGGTTAGTCATGATTAGTAGATGACCCCTATTGATTTTGTGGTCACCAGCTCAAAGGTCAAGGTCACAGGGGCCTTGACTTCAAAAAGCTTGTCCGCCCAATAACTTAAGATTCCTTTGACCCACAGTCTTCATATTTGGCATGGAGGTTAGTCATGATTAGTAGATGACCTCTATTGATTTTGAGGTCACCAGGTCAAAGGTCAAGGTCACAGGGGCCTTGACTTCAAAAAGCTTGTCCGCCCGATAACTTAAGATTCCTTTGACCCACAGTCTTCATATTTGGCATGGAGGTTAGTCGTGATTAGTAGATGACCCCTATTGATTTTGAGGTCTCACCAGGTCAAAGGTCAAGGTCACAGGGGCCTTGACTTCAAAAAGCTTGTCCGCCCAATAACTTCAGATTCCTTTGACCCACAGTCTTCATATTTGGCATGGAGGTTAGTCATGATTAGTAGATGACTCCTATTGATTTTGAGGTCACCAGGTCAAAGGTCAAGGTCACAGGGGCCTTGACTTCAAAAAGCTTGTCCGCCCAATAACTTAAGATTCCTCTGACCCACAGTCTTCATATTTGGCATGGAGGTTAGTCATGATTAGTAGATGACCCCTATTGATTTTGAGGTCACCGGGTCAAAGGTCAAGGTCACAGGGGCCTAGACTTCAAAAAGCTTGTCCGCCCAATAACTTAAGATTCCTATGACCCACAGTCTTCATATTTGACATGGAGGTTAGTCATGATTAGTAAATGATCCGTATTGATTTTGAGGTCAAAGGTCAAGGTCACAGGACCTTGTCAAAATAAAGCTTTTCCCTTCAATTGCTTCAGAATGCCTGTCCAGAGTGTATTGATTTTGACATTTTCACATTTGAAGCATGTAGAATACATAACTTAGCAATGCATTGGCTAAGTAACCTCAGATTTGGCAGGGAGGTTGTCCTTGAGTTCTAAATGGCCACTGTTGATTCTGACAAAGTGGTATGCGGGGGTATTCACGCCATGATAGTGGCAGTTCTAGTTTTTTTATGTAGCCCTGTTTTATTCTTTTTGATGCTTTTGATATTAAAACCTTCATTCAAATATTTGACTACTGATTACAGAACTAGGGTTTTAGGTCAGAAAGTGGCACAAAATGTACATAGTCAAATGAAAATATAGAGCACAGGAAAAGTAGTTTTATGACCTTGAAGCCAGACCTTACACAACTGTCTGCTTAAGTTTAGCAGTTTATTATCAAATTTTATGTTGGACAGTTCTAAATTTAATGCAAGTAAAAATCAGTTCAGTTTTACTTATTTCTTATGAAGACAAAATATGTTGGTAAAATAAATGTAGTAAAATTTGTTTTTAGAGTAATCTCCTATTTTAAAATAATCCTGTTATTGTAAAATGATTTGGGTGAAAAATCACCAAAAAAAATTTCAAATCTTAAAATTGACACTATAAATTTATACCAAACTTACTGTTTTATAACTGTATTAGTAGAGATAAATTCTGATAGTTTAATTGCCTGATTGTCTTCATTAGTTTACCTGGGGATTATATAGATCCTATGTGGTATATATGTTCATGATTTTTGTTTTTCAAGTTCATTTCACATTTCTTACAATTTTGAGTTCTTTTGAATTGTTTAACAAATTTGTTTTAAATTTGTTCATGTTTTATGACAGTCAAACTTTGTTAATATCGAGGATTATATCAAACTTATTGATTTTAATTGATTTAATTGAAAAAGATTGTTTTTCACATTTTATTGTCCAGAATGTTATCATACATGTGTCAAGTTAAAGTGACATTATGCCTATCCAACGGTAAAAGTGAGTGAACAGATAAAAGTCTAAATATGTTTTTAACTTACTTTACATGAATGATTAGTAACTCGCATGGTCTTAGGACATTTCTCTAAATATCCATTGGAATTTATATGTAACATTTAATTTATAAAAAAGAGTGGGGCAGTCTTTTTATATTTTGGTCAGTCAGTCTCTTCAGCTCAATTTGACATTGAAAAAATGAACATAATATATGTCACTTTAAATTGAAGCAAACATTAATTAGGGGCGTCATGGTGAGCACTGTATTTATAAATCTAATTATGCTATAGTAGTTAACTTAATTAAAATTTTAGAGATTAAATAGAATTAATTGAAGTTTGACTCTCAGAATGATTTTCATTGTTGCTCAATAACTTGATTCTAGATTTCTTTCATGTTAATGATTTGTCTCAATATATGAAAAAGTATGAGCTATTGACCAATATTTTGTAATGATTAGTCTAGTTGGTGAAATATTTACTTATTTGTTATTTTTATATTGGTACAAACATTTGTTTTTATTGATTGATTTAATCTTGAGTTTCTTAAAGTAACAAAGTATAAAATTAAATTGAAATGTCATTTTGACAATATTGAATAAATGAACTAAGTTTACAAAACTCCACTGATTACTATTTAGACTTGTTTCTATTAAACTTATAACAAGTACCCAATGATCTTTATAACTTGACTGACATATATGTGGCATTAAATAAATTATAATTTTTTACCACAGGTATGATTTTAACAACAATATTTTATGATTTTAACAACAGTATTTTTTCTAAAGGTGAATTGGGACTATATTTGGCTGTGAAATTGTCTGAAAAACAAAATCTGATTTTGATTTAATGTATATAGTTGGCAGGATCTGGTAGCCAGTGGTGTTGTGGAGTATATTGACCCGCTAGAGGAAGAATGTGTCATGTTAGCCATGTCACCTGACATTCTCATGGAGAAGGAGACACATTATTGTTCTACATACACTCATTGTGAAATCCATCCAGCCATGATCCTCGGAGTGTGTGCATCCATTATTCCATTCCCAGATCATAACCAGGTATATAACTTTATATTTTGCAGACACTAAATTTCTCTACGTCAATGTGATAATGCTTTAAAAGTTTGGTAATGTACTATTCATCATAATGAAAATATTACTTATATGATAAGTGTTACAGTATCTCTATTAAAGGCCCAGTATGCTTCATTATTACTATCATTTTAATTTCTCAAAAACTTTTGATTTTGGTATCTTGTTACAGTTTCCAAAAAATACCCATTTGTAATACACATGAAATATCTTATGCTTCTTTTGCTCTGTTGGCAATTAGTATAAATAGTGAATGAAGTGAAAATACAAAATACTTATTTTTTTACATTTTGCTACCTTTACAACACATTACTGCACATTTAGCGCTTCTTTCTTCAGTTTTTAAAGCATCTAACATGCTCTTAATCCATTATTAGAACATTATTAAACAGATGTTTGACATTTCTAAAGAATTAAAAAGATAAGGATTTCTGAAGCATAATGTGCCTTTAAAGTCTGATAAGCAAAGTAAGCTTGCTGTGTGCTCAGTAATTTCTTTATAAACACATAAATGATGAAGCATGTATTCTTTCATTGTTCATTGATGTCTTAGTGATTTAAATAGCACAAGCTTTTTGTGATTGATATTTTGTTCAACATTTTATCATTATATTTTCAGTCCCCACGTAACACCTACCAATCTGCTATGGGTAAGCAAGCTATGGGAGTATATATTACAAACTTTCATGTGCGTATGGATACACTAGCTCACGGACTACTTTATCCTCAGAAACCACTTGTAACTACACGTTCCATGGAATACCTGCGCTTTAGAGAATTACCTGCAGGTAAATAGTGCTAAGTACTTATTAAAAAAATCCTACTCGGCATCTTTCTTTATGTGGGTTTTTCTTTCCGCATTTACTAATTACCTATAGTAGTGTTTATACTTGAAATGCATGTTAATTATAAGTGTCATCTGTGAGGAAAAAAATGTGAGGTCTTGAATTGGTACGCTTCAGATAAAAATGCCACATTAACAAAAAAATTTTCCTTATTATAGATTAATTTAGATTCAAATTAAGATTATAAAAATAAACAATATAAATATGTTTCTATCCTTTACACTATTTCAGGTATTAACTCAATTGTGGCTATTTCTACATACACGGGATATAACCAGGAAGATTCTGTCATCCTGAACCAGTCTGCTGTGGAGAGAGGTTACTTCAGGTAAGTTCAAAATAATTTATGTGAAGAATTTTGATGTCACTTACCAAAAAACACTGGCTGGTACACTCATTACTTATTAGTTGCATTGTAACATTATTAAAATCTTGTGTTTAACAAAGAAGATGTATAACAAAAAATGAGGTTCAGGTGATACACACATGATGTTGTTTTAGTTCCCATCTTAATGTACAAAACGCAGATTTTTGAAAGCATATTTGACCTTTATTTCTCATTACTAAACAATAAGAGCAAATTAATTGCGAAGCTTTTCATTAGTGCCTGAAATGACAGTTCTTATTTGTTTTACACAGAAACAGAGAATTATATATTTTATAATACAGATATTTAGGAGATGAGGAGACATTTTGCATAGAAGTTGCTTACTTATATAATGTTTTTATTATTTAAATTTATTATTATATTTTTCGTAATAGGTCATTTTTCTTCCGAGCATATAAAGATTCCGAATCTAAGAAAGGTCTAGACCAGGAGGAAATCTTTGAGAAGCCTACTCGAGAAACTGTACAAGGTATGTTCAGCTTACGTGTTTCCATTGTCTAAATGATATTTATTTTTAGCTTAGCTATTCAAAGTATAGAGAGAGAGCTATTGTAGCACCCTGGCATCAGTGTTGGCATTATACTTTGGGTAAGTTTTTGTATGCAAGTTGATATCTCCAAAACTACTGAAGGGAATGAATTGAAACATCACACACTTACTTGAGAGTGTTATATCTGGTCACTGGCCAAAGCCCATTACTTGTAACAGGGATTTTGACAGAGTTATGGGCCTTTTTGAACTGAGAAAATTCTACATTATCCAGGCTCTTGTTTCACTATCAAGCACTGAGGATACTTACAGCTCTTATTATTTGTGTTTTGTTGTTGTTAACCATGATTTTACATTATCGTATCATTTACAACAAAATTATTTCCAAAACTTAGCCAAAATTGAGGCTTTCTATACACCACCCATTCCTTAAATGAAAGAAAGTTATTAATCTGTTCTGTTTGCTTTCTTTATGACAAAGTGGAAGTTTGGGAATATTTTCTGTCTTACTTTGCATTATATACAATGTCATGACTACTGAATGTATGTTTACAGGGATGAGACCAGCTATATATGACAAATTAGACGAGGACGGTATAATAGCCCCTGGTGTTAGAGTGTCTGGTGATGATGTACTGATTGGGAAAACTCTCTCATTACCTGCCAATGATGATGAGGTTAATATTTTATTCTTTACATTGAACATTATATAGTATCTTTGAAGTATATGCATTACTTGAGGGTTATAATGTGAACTTAACTGAAGCAATAGATATAAATAAGCCCATTATGACATCTATATAAAATGTGCAATGTGATAACATGATGTGTACTCCAGTTAACCTTTTGAAGTTACTAATCTATGCTGCTTAAACAGAGAGCCAGACCAGCCTAATCTTCTTATCTGTACTGTCTGACTAGATACTACTGGTTTAGTTTTAGTGTTATAGGATTAAAGTTATCAATAGATAAGAAACAAATTAAATCACAGTATTTTATGAGCAAAAGTTTTTTGTTTTTGTTTTTTCACAATAAAAATTACTTCCCATTTTACTTCCTGTATTATTATGGACCTAATAAGCAACAACATTGATTTTCATTCATATTTGTTTAACATTATTATATTAGTTTCTCTATTACAATTGTCTACTCTTTTTTATATGGGAAAAATATGTATTTTTTAGTTGGAAGGTACTGCTAAGAAATTCACTAAGAGAGATGCAAGTGTGTTTATGAGAAGAAGTGAGACAGGTATCATTGATCAGGTAACTAACACCACTTTCTTTATAGTTATAAAACTTGTGATTCTCAGAGATTTGTTGTCAGTCATCATTTGATCACGTCATTGAAGTTTTGCATAATTATAGTGTTTAATATATATTACACATATTTAAAGTGTTGAAATTTAAATAATAACCCCTCATCAGGTAAACAGTAGTGGTTATATCGCACCCTTTCCATTAATATTGAATCAAACATCCTCTCCTCAGGTAAATAGTAGCGGTTATATCAGATCATTTTCATTAATATAAATTAAAAACAAGCCACTTGGCTAGCCAATCAAGTGGCACATTATAAAAGACTGAAGTGTGCCCCATAAATTGAGGCTGCTCAGATAAAGACATCTTTGAAATTATTATTGGATAGTTCCTATGTGATATTTAGGACAAGACTAACTGACACACAAAATATTCAGGACTTAGCTTATCTTCATAATAATACCAAATAATTTAATTGTTACCAAAACATTGCATTGGAAACAATTGTTAGAATGATAACAAAGAAGTATATTGGTACCAAAATCATGTAATGATGTCAATTAAGTTGATGCTAAAGTTATGCAGTTATTACCAAAGAATTACATTGCTGCCGGTTTGTTCATTTATGTTAAGGATTGCATTGATACCAAGGCATTAATTAAATAATTTCAATTTGTTTGTAACAGGTGATGGTAACAATTAACCAGGAAGGATATAAATTTTGTAAGATCCGAGTAAGAACTGTCAAGACCCCTCAGATTGGTGACAAATTTGCTAGTCGTCATGGACAGAAAGGAACATGTGGAATCACTTACAGACAAGAGGTATGATTTATACATAGGAACATTTCTAATATGTCTGATAAAAAAAGGAACAGCTTGTAAAATAACAGTTAAATATTTCCAGTTTCGAGTTTTCCTTTATTGAGCAATTCACAGCTGATAAAAGAAGAAGTATTCCATAAATTAATGTTACAAAAGGTATTTTATCTGCATAAACCTAAACATTCCATCACCATCAAAGTAACTCTTAATCTTTCAATGTAAACAGTTAAAAAAATGGAATACAAATTTATAAATGAATGCTGTATGTAATGTTTACAGGACATGCCATTTACATGTGAAGGAATCACTCCAGACATTATCATTAATCCTCACGCTATTCCCAGTAGAATGACAATTGGCCATTTAATCGAGTGCCTACAAGGCAAAGTGGCTGCCAACAAAGGTGAGATAGGGGACGCTACACCCTTCAATGATTCTGTCAACGTACAGAAAGTCTCAGATCTACTTCATCAGTATGGCTATCAACAGAGAGGAAATGAGGTCAGTAATTGCTTTATTTGCCACTGCTTTGTTTCATTGTTTTCTATAGTTTTTTTTTTTAGAATTGTTGGAAAGGGTACAGATCTGTGCAATTGAGATATATTTGATTATAGTGAAATCAGGTGAATTAAGCCAAAATATTGAAAACAATATTGGAAAAAGAAAAAAATCAAACCCAGAAATTGTTGGTGATTTGTAATCAGTGTGACCTATCTTAAAAGAAAAGAAGGAAAAAAGCACTGAATTCATATACTAAATGTCATGATTGGATGATAAGATAAATGTGTTAACTCTTGTTTATATAGTAAAAATTGTCCTTTTTGGGTTACATTAAGTATTGATATATTATATAGCCATAAAAAAACAGTACAGGTGTTGAATCAGGTAACCATTAAAGTAACATTGGCAAACAGGAGATTGTTGATTCTATCAAGGTGTCTGAATTTGTGCTTTCAAAATAAAAGATAGTCGTAGGGGTCTCACTTCACATGAAAAAGCTGGAAAGTCTCTTTATAACCTTCAGTCCTTCACACAATAAGAATGACCTACAAAATAACAAAGAAGTGTTTTTTTGTTGTTTTTTCATTTATATACATTTTGTAATATAATTCTCACTTTTTCATACAGGTTTTATACAATGGATTTACTGGAAGAAAATTGAATGCACAGGTGTTTCTTGGACCTACATACTATCAGCGTCTGAAACATATGGTGGATGACAAGATCCACTCTAGAGCTAGAGGACCACTTCAGATACTCAATAGGCAACCTATGGAGGGTAGAGCTAGGTATATTTACTTTGATATCATTACCTTGATTAGTATAGTAGTATTTGCTAGCTACCTGAGGTTGTATTATTTCAATAAAGGAGAGAGAAAGGACTGAATGGATTATTGAGTACAAAACCTGTTGAAAATTACAGTTTGAATGATGTGTTATTTCTTTTAACATCATACTTTCTTCGGGAGTCTTCCCCATTCTTTCAAATATCTTGAAAGAGGTGCTTTACAAAGTATTAAATATTTACAGATCTCCAGTTCTTCATTTAACATAAGTAAGGGACTATGGATGTCAAGTATCATATTTACAACTCCAAACTTATAAATTAAACATAATCTATTGTACATTATTTAGGGATGGTGGATTACGTTTTGGAGAAATGGAACGTGACTGTCAGATAGCTCATGGTGCTGCACAATTCCTTCGGGAGAGATTGTTCGAGGCTTCAGATCCATACAGAGTTCATCTCTGTAATATTTGTGGTCTCATTGCCATAGCCAACCTCAGAAACCAAACGTTCGAGTGCAGAGGTTGTAAAAATAAAACACAGGTCAGTATGATTTAATATGTTAAATTTTGCATTCAGCCATAGGCATGATTTATTTGTCGATTGTCATATTTATTCCCTTCATAAGGTTGCTTTTCCAGCTAAGTAGGGAAAGGAATAAGTCAGTGTGCATCTTATTTGAGAGTTCAAACCCTAGACTTATGTAGATGAAAATTTACCCTTTGCTGTTTTAAATGATAATGGAGAATTAAATGATTTATGTGGAGGACTTGGCAGACACTTGCAACCAGTACAGAAGTCTATAGAGACACTTGTGAAGGAAATAAGAGATGTACAATCTTTTAAACCCAATCAAACAAATTTTTCAAATGGCAATAAATCATTTATAGTTAGATATCATTTTAAAACTAAGATTCATCCTTTTTGATAACATATTTGATTTTCATCTTTAATCATGACATTGATTTGTACATCCTACAAATTAAGAATAGATTTAAATTGAATGTTTGCGTTTTCATTTCAGATATCTCAAATACGTATCCCATATGCGTGCAAGTTGCTATTCCAAGAACTTATGTCAATGAGTATAGCACCTAGAATCATGGTGACCTGAGCTGACCTGGCAGCGTACAAGTTGTGAAAATAAATATGTGCCACATACAATCTGATTACACTGAATGATTCATAGTAAACTGGGATCATTTCATCTGACATCAGTGACCTTGACAGGTTTCCTAATGTAATGACAGCTGCCGTTGTGTTGAAATCAACGTAATCAATAATTGATATACAGTTTAGTGCATGTAATAATAAGTAAGACACTTGTATATAGTCATATTGTACTATTGTCTAAGTCACATTGTGGGAAAAGTTGGTTTTAAATGAAAGAATGTTTAGTTTGTTGTGACATTCTGAGGAAAGAAATACGTTTTGGAGTTAGTATGAGGAGACAATCGTGTGCAATTGGTGCAATTGAAAAAAAAAAAGGATTTGAAGTTTTGAATACTTAACTACCATGGTTGGTTTCAAAAACATTTGATATAAGAATTTTTTTGCTAGTAGAAGTTCTCGATTAAGAGCAGTTATTATTTCCACAAGTGTTTTTTTGCACATATAAATGATATTCCATTACATGTGTGCATTAATATCGGACAAAGTGGAGAAAATTGAGAATTACATCAATACGGCAATCGTTATACACCATTACCGCTTGAATCTTTCCTTTAAAAAGTAGGGATTGAAAATCCTTAAAATTCTATTAACAAATGCTTTCTCTTGTGTAATATCTATGACATTACTTGACATTATTTATCATATAATGATTGATGCAGTCATTTTGTATTATTTGTGTAATGTGGAAATTTTTAAGATGATGATAATGATGTAAATAGCATGATACATGCAAATAAAACGTTACATTTCAAAGAATGTTTCTTATATATTGAAATTTAGGTTTTTGCTTGAGCTTCACTCATTCATATATATGACCGTAACAAAATACTTCAGACCATTCCTAAGTTCTTGTAAACTGGCTTGGCAACGGTGAGTCAAATATTCAATATTTTCCGGTTGAATATTCTCCGTGCCAAAGAGCCATTTGTGATTTTTCAAAGAACACAAAATGAGGAATAATTACATTGAAATTGCATGCAGCAAAACATTACCAGCTTTAGTTTGACACTATACCTGGTCAACTAGCATTCTCTTTATTGTTTTATATTGAAGAAATTGTCCAAAAACGTTCTGCAAGATTTTTAACTTCAAATTAGCAGGATTATGATCCTCGATCAATAACAAAAATTTTAATGGACATAAGCCTACAACCTCTAAGAGAATGTGGAAGACAAGATTGGTTGATATTTCTATGCAAAGGGTTAAATTCAAAGTCAAATCTACCATTGGAACAATTACATTGACCTTAGTACTACTAAAAATATGCACAGTGATCATTTCAATAGATTACTGACGAGAACCATGGTTATAAAATATAGTTTCATTCTGGACACAATATATGACTGGATCTCACTCCCACCAATATAATACAACCAACAGTGATCCAGATTCCCTATAATAAAGTTTGAGTGGGGCAAGGAATTATAAGTTTTCTACAGCTACTTGCCCAAGGCACAGTGAATAAATGTTTACAAAATGTTTTACTGAAACTTCTAAAGATCAAGACCAGGTAGTATCAAATACGAGATGTTCTGATTAACACACTATTAAAATACCGGCGTTTAAAAGCGTGGTTCATGTCATAAGTTTATTATGCCCCCCTTCGAAGAAGAGGGGATATATTGTTTTGCTATGTCGGTCCGTCGGTAGACCACATGGATTCCGCTGATTATCTGAAAAACTGTTTATCACAAAGTGTTCATATTTCACATAATGATTGGTCATAACAAGTAGATGACCCCTAATGTTTTTTGGGTCACTAGGTCAAGGTCACAGGTGCCTTAAATATCGGAATGATTTCTGAACATTATCTTGGTTTCTATTCATCACAGTCTTCATATTTCACATATTGATTGGTGGTAACTAGTAGATGACCCCTATTGATTTTGGGGTCACTAGGTCTAAGGTTAAGGTCACAGGGCCATTGAATGGTAGTATGCTTTTAACTTATTATCTTGGTTACTATTTATTACAAAGTCTTCATATTTCACATATTAAGTGGTCATAACTAGTAGATAATCCCTGTTGACTTTGGGGTCAAAAGTCAAGGTCACAGGGTCCTAGGATTTCAGCTCATGATCTTGAAAGCTAATAATCACAAAGTCTTCATATTTCACACAGTGATTGATCATAACTAGTAGATGACGCCTATTGCTTTTGGGGTCACTAGTTAAAAGTTAAAGGTCACAGGGGCTTTAAATGTCAGAATGGTTTCCTCTTATTATTTTGAAAACTATGCACCACAAAGTCTTCATATTTCACATAGTGATTGGCCATAACTAGTAAGTGACTCCTGTCGATTTTGGGGTTACTAGGTCAATGGATAACCGCCTCCGTGGTCGAGGGGTTAGAGTCGATGACTTCTAATCCAGTTACCTCTCTGGCGTGGGTTCGATCCCCGGAGATGCTTTGGTAGTTTAGCGCGGAGGAAGGTAGTCTAGTACTGGTGTAACTCTCCAGGAACGATGGTTAGGAAACTACCCGCCTATATGACTGAAAGACTGTTGAGAAAAGGCGTAAAATGAAACAAACAAACAAAGAGGTCAAAGGTCACAAGGTCCTTGAATGTTAGTATGGTTTCCGCTTATTATCTTGAAAGCTTTTTATCACAAAGTCTTCATATTTCTAATATTGATTGGTCATAACTATTAGATGACTCCTTTTGATTTTTGGTCACTAATTCAAAGGTCAAGGTCACAGGGCCCTTAAATGTCAGAGTGGTTTCCGCTCATTATCTTGAAAACTTTTTATCACAAAGTCTTCATATTTTTCTTTTTTTCTATAACTAAACACTTCCATGTACCCATTTAAGGCAAGTTTCTATAAAAAAACAAACAATTATCATAGTATTGCAAGCAATCCATAAGTCCCCTACCAGATAGAACCCCATCAGCATTCTGAAGGGCCATTGGCCATTCACTAATGTGTAAATTTTTCTCTATTTTAAGTAAATTTGTTGGAAATGTTCTTTAAAAGTGATCACAGGAAAAAGTTTTTATGAACAGACAGACAGACGGACTGAAGGACACTCTAAAGTTAATATTTGAAACATCCCTGTTACCAAAATATAACATTTTAAAAAGCAAAATTCTTAAAGAGGAGATAACTCTGGAATTAAAGATGCAATTTCATAAAAAGTTTCAGCTCTTTTTGACTTATCACAAATATTGTTATATTTGCCATGTTTTAAGCCTATTTGTTGCCAAGGCAACCAATATTTTTTCAAAATAGGAAGAACAGATAAGACATGCATAATCTCAAGACTGCCATCTACCCACATGTCAAGTTTCATAAAAATATTTCCAGTACTTTTTGAGTTATCACTGGATTCAGTTTATGTGTAAAATTTGCAATATTTTCAGTCTATGTGTTGCCATAGCAACCAGAATTTTCAACATAGGAAGAAAAGAAAAAGACGTGTATAATCTTCAGACTGCCATCTATCCATATATCAAGTTTCATAAAAATATTTCTATTACTTTTTGCGTTAACACTGGATCCAGTTAATGTGTAAAATTTGCCATATTTTCAGCCTATTTGTTGCCATAGCAACCAGAATTTTCAACATAGGAAGACAAGAAAAAGACGTGCATAATCTCCATACTGCCATCTATCCATTTATCAAGTTTCATAAAAATATTTTCAGTACTTTTCAAGTTATCGCGGGATCCAGTTTTGTGGACGGACGGACGGACAGACGGACGGAGGGTAAACCTAAAGTCCCCTCCGGTAAACCGGTAGGGGACTAATAACCAATAATGTGAGTCATGTGCTAGAAAGGGGGGCGGGCATATGTGTCGTTTGTCATTTCTTGTTTTCATTAATTTCAATGGTTTAAAGTACATGTAATAAATAAAATCTGGAGATCTTAAATTTTATTTTCTAGTGGCTAGACCCTAACCCTGGCTAGAGGCTCGCTTTATTATAAATACTTGAACAGTTAGAAAAATACATATTACGTGACAACACATGTATATGTAAAAACCTTTGTGCGTAATTACAGGTATTCAGTACAGTATATTATATCTCTGTTTGAACAATCAAGATAAATCAATAGATATGCTCCACAGTTTAAATATCCAGTATCTACGTGCACTGCACATTTGTGTACTAGTTGTTTAATGAAAAAAGCAGGACTGATGGATCGAGAATTTTATTCATGTAAGTGACGTTACACATGCTACCCAACTATAGCATTTAGTTAACTTACCAGTGCGTGTTGCACGGAGGCGTGTTGCTGATAAGATTTTATTGCTTGCAATTACACGCGTCGAGATTACAGCATTATTAATCGTCGATTGTATAAGTAACTGCATTCGATGGATGGACAGGGCGTGAAAACGGACTAAAAACCTTTGCGCACAAAAGCCCTCCAGGACAAAGACCATCCAATCAAAAAATGAAAGTGGGCAAATTTAAAACCCTCCAGAATGAAACCTAAATTTTCTCACGTGTCAATTGTGTGGTGGAAACATCGTATGGCATGATTTTTAGTAAAATTAAATTAAACTATTTAAAATTCATGTAAATCCATTGATACTGACTACCGGTACTTGATTCGAAATGAAAAGTTGTCAAAATCGTCCGTAAAACGCGTTTTCTTTGCATAATCATAAGCCGATATAAACAGAAAATACGTTTGTATATTGAATTTTAAAATGAATATCTTTCATAGTCTTTAACAAAAAGGTTATTAAATCGGTGCAAAACATTTAAGTAAAAAGGGGCAATAACATTTTAGGATTATATGCCCTTGTGATATGGCATCATAATGTTTATGAACAAGTTGCAAGACCTATGATAGTTTTTGTTAAATTGACATTAACCTATTACCTTGAACATTGACCCTTGACCTTAAAATTGTTTTGAAAAGTACAACTCATCAATATCAAGATGTATCTCATATGGAAGTTATACTTTTCTTTGTTTGAATTTAATGACCATAAACAAAAGCTTAACCAACGCTTTCTCTTATGCCGACAAGTGGGTCACTTTTTTCTCTTCGGAAAGTGGAGCTCAAATGGAAGACGGATATGTTTGGATGGGATATATACTGAACCAAAAAAAGAAACTTTCGCAAAGTATGTGCCAGTTGTTCAAGGGTACCACTTAGCTGTACACACTTATATACATGTAGTAGCTTGTAAAACTCGCTTTGTTTGCAAAATCGGTCAGCTAATCCCCGTATAAAAGCCCGATATGTTTATTCAACGTAAAAATCGAGTTTCAAAAGGATTGAAAAACTGTACTAACATATGATATCTACATTCAAACTTGGAGAAAGTTTCTTTTTTGTTTCAGTATATGTTTGTTTAACCTTGTACTGAAAGACAATATGTTGCATCACAAACAAAATTGCATTACCTCACTCGGGCTTTGATTAGCATTTCTGTCTTGGTGGACTGTTAGACGCGAGATGATAATTCGTCAGCAAAGGAGCGGAACGTTATAAAAATAATCTTCGGGAGAAAGTTGTGGAATCGGCATTTCCAAAATGCCAGGCGCGGTATGTTTTTGAAGTCACTGCAATAATGAAGCAACATTCAGAAATCAGTGAAACTGATGCAAAAGAAACAGTTTTTAAGGACATGAATGGTGTATAAACAGTTTGGCAAGAAGTAGTTTTGTTCAACGCCATGAAAATAGATGCCTTATATAAATCTATAAAGAGGACGATAAATCAGCTTATTGAAACAGAAGGTAATGAGAGCGATGAAGCCCCTTAAAATAGATAAAAAAAATCCTTATGAGGTTTCTGTTGAATAAAATTCTTTGCATTTTCGTTATAACTCAGATGGACGAGGAAGACATAAACTTCAAAGGAAATTCGAACAGGAGTGAGCAGCATGTGCAGTGAACTACTCTACATTAATTTATCTGTTGTAAATCAGTGACAGGCAAACATAAAACTGCACTGTGCATTTCGTGCACATATAGATATAGAACTGTCTTAAGATTCGTTCATACGCGTTCCTGATCTGCGTAGAAAATATATTGTACAAATCCTTTCGTCGTTCTGTGCAATATTGTTCTGTGTACAGAAGGAGTGTACTTTCAATACTATTAACGTCATTATAACGTCTGGCGGCGTAAAACATGTTAATCAGCATTATAATTATTACTTAAAGGCCATATGCCGCTTTTCATGACACAGCATTGAATGCTGCATGATCAACGTGGAATAAATGGATCTGCGGATGTTTTTAAAATTTTACCATTACATTTTAAAAGCCGAGGCTAGTGGGCGTGGACGGTAGCTTGCAATTGTCACCACCATCCATGTACTGGCCCTGTCAATTGTTAGAGCCCTGCAAAGTTTTCGTCTTCTGCTGTTTTTTTGGTTTCCTTTAGGGATTCCATTTTATCAATTTGAATGACTGTCAGGGACAACACTATATCCATTTAAGATACCATTTAATCGTTTCTCCCTCATGTCTGTTCTTACACAGCACTCTAAGCATTATCCACAGTACAAGCTTCATGTATTTAACCTTCGGATAAAGATTCATAATAACATTTGATAGTTATTTCATTCTCAAGCATTCTTAAACAATAACAGGCATCCACTGTTGCCTCTTTATCCACAGAATACCGGTACTTGTCTTAACGTAGAAGAAAGTGAAACATATTCAGAGCAAACTATGTTGCATATTTCTCCGACCAAAATGCACATGAAGATATCGATCAAACTAATGAAGTACTTAGTGCCTATCAAAGCCAAAACTTGGCTGTACGTATTTATCACTTTTGAATTAAGATCAATTTAATCGTTTATTGTCACAATTATTTCTGAAAATAAACGTGTTACGTACATATGTATGTACAGAGTTATTGCACCAATATTAGCGTCAAGTTTAGCGTGACGCGCCATTTTATACGTCATTGTATTGACGTCATTATATGAGTTGGCTTCCGGTAATCAGAAATAAAACAACGTTATTGAAGAACCAGTGCAATCTTTTGATTATTTAGTGTTTACACAACATTTTGGTCCCGCGAACCGGATAACACTATGACAACAAAATTACGTTCTATACAGAAGGGTCACAAAGGCGCAGTTACACGACTCCTGAACAAATTCGAGATAATTCAGCGGGAGGCAGCCGATTACGAGGAACTTGTGACGATCATTGATTCCCTCAAAAAGAAACAGCATACGATCCCGGAGATACACTGAAAGATCCTTGATTCTTTTCAAGATGAAGAAGAAGAACAAATAGAAACAGAAATTCTTGAGCATGATGAGTATATATACATGTTAAAAACCAAGATACAGAAGATACATGATTTTAGGAAGGTATCAATTTCAAATTTGAACTACAATTCCCCAGCTCTAAACCCTAATGCTCAGCCATTTCAAGCGTCCGTATCAAGCGAAACATCCGAGATTTGTGCGCCAGGTATCAGCGAGAATACTTCCCAGATGCATTTCTTACCGTCCTTATCTCAAAGCTCAGTATATCACAAATTACCAAAGTTAGATTTGCCGAAGTTCGACGGAAATGTCCTTGACTGGTGTTCATTTTGGGATTCTTACGAGTCTGCTATACACACGAATCTTTCACTGAGCGGAGTACAGAAATTCAATTACTTGAAGTCGTGTCTTAAAAATGAAGCTTTGCAAACAATAGCTGGATTTGCCTTAACGAATGTTAATTATGAACAGGCTATTTCATTATTACATGAGAGATATGGTCAAAAGGACAGAATTATACAAACTTACATGAAAGCATTACTAGAAGTTCCAGCACCCAGGTACACTATACAGAGTGTTAGAAAATTCTATGATACAACAGAGTCTGACATATATCAGAGCATTAGCTTCACTAAATCAGAATGAGACTACATACGGTTCATTACTTACACCTGTTATCCTTCAAAAACTACCGCCAGAGGTCAGAACAAACATTACACGTGCGCACGGGATACAGTCTGGTCTTTGCGTGAATTGATGAAATGTATACTGAATGAAATCAATATTTTAGACGCTGGAAATTTGCTGAATACCCCTCAAGACTTCATTCCGACGGCAACTTTTTTAACAAAATCTGATTCCAGTAAGCCGGAAAGAAAAAATACATCCATACCAGGCCATTTACGACAACATAGACAGAGATGCTTGTTTTGTAAGGGAGAGCACTCTTGTATAGACTGTGTAAAATGTAAAGATCGTGAACAGAGAATGAAGATAGTGAAGGAAAGAAGGCTATGTTTTAATTGTCTGGGAAACCACAAGATTACAGACTGTAAGTCTAAATTCAAGTGTAAAATATGCTCACGCAGACATCATACTAGTATTTGTGGAGTAGAAAAAGAAGCCAAATCTACAGATAAGTATCCTGTTATCAACAATGAGAAAAAGAACTCCACTTCGGTATTACATTCTGCTCACTCTACCACACCAGGTCCTGTATTATTAAAGACAGCAGTTTCCATGGTAACCTCAAAAAGTACCTCCATTTCCGCCAATATCCTATTTGATGAAGGTTCCCAGAGTTCATTTATAAGTGAACACCTAGCCCAAAAATTACAATTGGAGCCCACCGGAAGTGAAACTTTATACATGTCGGGTTTCGGAGACACAGAGCGTCGCGTGCGACATTTAAGCAGAGCAACCGTGTATTTAGAAACACCAGAAGAAAATATTCCCATAAAGGTTTTGATTATTCCTGAAATTTCCACGCCACTGAAATCTCATCACAAACATGCTGGTCACCTTACTTATCTGAAAGGGCTCAAACTCGCACACCCAGTCTCAGGAGATGAAGATTTTGATATCGAGATTCTTATTGGTGCTGATCATTACTGGGACGTAGTACAAGATGAAGTTATCAGAGGTGACGGGCCTACAGCTATACTGTCTAAAATCGGATACCTTCTATCAGGACCATTGAAAACTGATCCTGAAATACATTCTACATCGATTCCCATCTGTAAAACTAACGTTATGACTGTTATTACACAAAATGAACTTAAAGTAGAGCATCTTAAGATAAAAGAGTCGGTCGGAGAAGGATATAAACCAAACCAACAATTATGCTACGAAAAAACACGCGAATATTCAGAAAATAGCATCACGTACAGTTTACCACAGAAAGATGACCACTACATTATATCACGAAACGAACATATAAGTAGATCCAGAACTATGCCCCACCATCCTGTGAGAAAAGACTCGGAGAAAATATGTGTTATAAATGACCGCACACTTATCTATACATTCATGTACACATATCTCATAGACCCATCTCATCTACTATACAGACGCAGGATTACCTCCCCTATTTACCCAGACGACAGAGAACTCACAACAAGGGGATTCAATGAGCCTGTCGAGGAACTGTACATACTCATAGATGCAACGCTTGAACGTTTCTTTTCAAGATGGAAACACAAATACCTAACCTTGTTACGAGAGTCTCACTAAAACTGAAGTAACATTGTACACGTGATTCACGTGCATTTGCCGGCAACAATTTTTCGCGCATGCCTTTAAAATATAAAGTGACATTTGCAATACGTTATATAATCAGTAAAACTTTACCGGTTAATTACAATAAGAGTATAATAACAATGATCTGAAAACTAATTGCAATAGTGGTTTACTATCAGAGACAGTTTATGAATTTAATTGATTGATCAAACTTGTAATTTAATTCACTAGATATATCTGATTTCAAAGTTTCTAAGTTACAATACTTCATTTCATTGAATTCAGTTTGTATAATTATTATTTTATTTTATATGATCTTGAACAAGCATTGTGGCCCCCGGAGTGTTACGTACATATGTATGTACAGAGTTATTGCGCCAATATTAGCGTCACGTTTAGCGTGACGCGCCATTTTATACGTTATTGTATTGACGTCATTATCTGAGTTGACTTCCGGTAATCAGAGATAAAACAACGTTATTGAAGAACCAGTGCAATCTTTTGATTATTTAGTGTTTACACAACAAAACGAATGGGAAACCATACAGATTTAAGAGAACACATTAGAGTACACATTTGTGGTTCGTAATTTGCCACGAAGTTTGACGAAAATGCCCGAAGAGTTGCGAACCCGTTAAGTGTTGTGTGCGAAAAGGAAAAACATGGATATTGGTTACAGTTTATAAAGGTAAATAAATAGACAATGATTTTGTATATATCTAATTACTTTTATCATTTGATCAAATGATTCTACATTTGTAACACATTCGAGTACACATTTGTGGTTCGTAATTTGCCACGAAGTTTGACGAAAATGCCCGAAGAGTTGCGAACCCGTTAAGTGTTGTGTGCGAAAAGGAAAAACATGGATATTGGTTACAGTTTATAAAGGTAAATAAATAGACAATGATTTTGTATATATCTAATTACTTTTATCATTTGATCAAATGATTCTACATTTGTAACATTATCAGAAACAATATAATATAATAATTATGATCTGATTAATGTTAAATAATTACTACATAAACATGTTTTAACTTGAAGGAAGATCTACGTAAACTTAAAGCAAGATAACAGATAAGGTACAAAGTATCAAGAACAACGTAAGTTTTAAAGTGACATACCAGTCTAAGAGTAAATGATTTATTTACATTTTGTCATATTTATTTACAAGTTATAATAAACGTCACAAGAGTAATCAATATCCCCCGTGAACCACATCCTAACACGATGCGCATTTTTTTTCTATTGAACATAGAAGAACCGAAAGTGTGTGTTATTTAAGAAATAATATATCCGAAACAGTGATTTTATCGCTCAATAACAATTTTATAAAGACAGTGTTTTTATATTTTATGCAGTTTTTGTACATTTTATCCTTAACATTTGTTATTATCAATAATTGTTAAAGTAGACAATCAATTAATTTGTCAGCTTGGCATTGAAAACATAAAGCACATTAATGTATATATTTAATAAATTATTAACGAAACATTAATACGGCACGTTGGAAAACGGTTAAGAGGGCGTTATATTTTGTATTTTAAGAGCTAGCTATAATGTTCATTTTGTTTTGTGAATACTTAAACAGATGTTGTTAAGACCAGAGCTCGAATGAGACAGCTGCATGTATAATATACTACATAACAATATTACGCATATAAACAATCAAAGTATAGTAAAACAATTACAAATCTTTTAAAAGTGTTATTAAATAAGTCTTTCTTGATACCATATCAATGTGACGTAGTCGTACAGCTCGATAAGATAAAGGTAGTACTATTTGTTTTTCTAAGGTTTCTGAATTAATACAGTGTTTATATGCTCCACAGTGCACTTCAATATGGCAATAAAAGTGACAAGTAACAATGCAACTTTAAACCCAACTTTTACCTTTGATAAAGTATGATTTAATAAAAGTGAATATGGTTAGCAATTTATATACCCAGTACTATGTAACTTAATTAGATCCTTAATCGGAAGTTTATTTGTCAGGAATACCGAAGGTTACGAATGTCTCGGGTAGACAGTCAACTAGACAATTTTAACCGTTCACTGCGCTTACGACTAGTGGCCAGTTTGAATACCTGTAGACAATCATAACGTAATAGAGAAATCAGTGTAACACATTGGAAATGATATAGATGGTAAAATAAAGGTGTATGTGAGATACTCGATAGTTGCAATGGTTAGGGAAGTTGTCCTGATATTGATTAGGTCGGAGCTGAGGCCTTGTCAGAGATGTCTGTGCTGTAAATATCATAAGTGTAACCCATTGGTTGCTGAATGTATGACAGTTAAATATGCCCTCGGGGCCTTTATTTATTTAGCGGGTTGATTATAATCTCGTTCTGGTCCTAATCTCGTTCCGGTCCTACTTTGCCGAGTAATAACGTCTTAATTCACTCATTTTCAAACAATGTGATACAACAGGATATATTTCTTTTCAATATCTTGAAACAAAAAGCATCAGACATTATTTTGTATTTGTTTGTGTTAAAAGGTTATCATAGAAAACGGAGACAGAAAATGCTGGAGATACAATGACTACCTTCAAGAGCCAAAACTTTTCTACTTGCTTCAACTTTACAGATTTTTCATCCAGACTGAATGAGCCAGAAGCTAAACTAATAATTGTAGACATAGCTAATGAAGTATCTACAAACCAGGGTTTGTGAAAATTACATTTCTACATTTCATTTCACCCAAATAATAAGGATTACAAGAGGATTAATAACCCTCCATGTTTCAGTTCAGCTAAATTGTACACCTACCAAGCTGTTTAAAGTTACGGTATTTGAGCTAACATTGAGAGATGACAATCTTAAGACAGTTTTGTAAACGATTTATCATAATATAACCTACCATCCTGGAGGAGAATTCTGTTAAAAATTCGAAAAAATTACCCTCTTCTAAATTTAAATGATTTTCTTCAATTAAAAGGCCACCCAAAGATACGGGAAAGTGAAGGTTTTGGTAAATCGGTGCAAAATAATGTAAACATACTTTTTTCTTTGGTTATTCAGCAAGAATGATTTTGATGAATCAAATTATTCTATGTAAGTTAATTTATGAAAATAGCCTGACAAATAAAATGTCTCCGTTTGAATTACAATTATAGTAACTATATGCTCAATTTATGAAAACGTCAACCTTATCGGTGTCAGTAACCATTAGAGCACAACGCTGACTGAATTAATTCAGACATTCAGACTTAATAAACTATTCAGACAAATTGTACAAATTAAACGTTTCATACTAAATAAAATAAACTAGACTTAAAAGCAAGCAACAACGTAAGAACACTACGAACACTACACGAATAACTAATTTAAAACTTGATAGTATTTTTTATTTCATTTTGTCTAAATATTAATGGTTTTATATTCCATTTATACAGTAGTTAAACCTGATATAGAAGACGACCAAAAAAGATGGCTGATTGTTGGGATATGCCTACACAGTGTTATATCTCCTGCATTAAGAAAGTACATACCACCTGTTGTAAGCCAACTCTACAACAAATTGAAGCAAACAGACAAGATAGACACACAAACATTTGCTAAACACATGAAGCGTTATAAACCAACAAACAAAGAATTGAACTACGAGGCGATCAATAACAACAGTGCCATACCAAAAGTGAAAGGGAAAAAGGATGAACAGAAATACAACTATAATGTAACAAGCGATGTGGATCTGACCAAACTATTCCTGGCTACAAACATGGCACATTATACCGGATTTGATGACACATGTGACTCATCGGCTCTCCTGGGAATCATTGTTAATATTGATTCATTTCAGACTTTGCCAAAACAGACTGCTGAAAAGGTAGTCAACAAGAATTTGCTATTGTTCGAGATTGATACTTATTTGGTTTAAACATATTTATTTCAGTTCGATTGCGAAACAATTTAAATTAATCACTTTCGAGTCAGTTTCCTGGAATCAACCAGTACTGGTGTCATATGAAGAAACATGGTCGAGACCCGATATGGGCTCAAACTCATAATCCCTGTGTTGAGAGGCAGACACCTTAACCACTAGACCACCGCTTCCCCTATACTTTTTAATACTTTACTTCACGCAGACCTAAGTTTGTAAACACAAATGTCAAAATATGTAGAAATAGATGTAAACATATGTTAATGCGATTAATATGCTTAATTTTGAATAGGAGAACAGCAAATGTTGCAAGCTTGGTTTTATTGAGCCTATACATTTGACCGGCTTAAAATCTTCAACTGTAACAAACTTTTGGACTTGCTTAAACAGGAACAAATACTTGTGAATTTTTATGTAACATGAGGTATACATGTAGATAAAATGATTTATCACACACCCGTGCCGATTTTGCGACTCCGTAAAAACGGTAAAGCACGGCCGTGCATATATTTTGACAGCGTTATACAAACATAGTGTAAAGACGCACTGAATGTTAGCGTTATACTATAGGTGCGTCAATGAAAAATTACTCTTATTTCACTTAAAACGGTCTTTATTTTGGGTATGTGATAAATAGAATATTAAATTCGTGTAAGGTCATTACTGAATTTATTGCACTCGTTGAATAAAATAATATTATGCTCGCCAGAGGCTCGCATAATATAATTTTATTCAACTCGTGCAATAAATTCAGTATTGAACTTACACTCATTCAATATCCTCTATTTATTTTACAAGTTGTTTTACAGGTACGTTCGGATATTCGAAATCCTTGGGCACATTGCAACTTTTCCGAGTGGGACGTGATCAAATATCAAAACTCATTCCAACTAATGAATCAGTTCATTAGAAATCTGTTACTTCCAGTTCAAGACGAGACAGCAATTCTTGGACAACTGTTACAATGGCAAACAAATGGTTAGTTAATATAGCATTGATAAAAATTTAAATATACATAATTTACAGCAAACTTATTTGTTTCAACATTCTTTACATATCGCTAAGAATATGTTAACATTACTTTACCACTTATTATATTTCGGTTAAGAAGACATTTTAACCTACATATATAATTTTCAAACACTTTGTTACAGGGCTGCAATTTTTGCAAGGAACAACACTTGGAGTTGAATTGATACAGGAACTGAAAAAAGAGACCAGAGCTTTATGTAAATATATTCTTGATATTGTTTTAAAAAATGACACGAGTTTTCAAGATGTTCACAGATCTTTATTGTCAATAGAGGGTTCGTTAAACAAAACATCTGAAAGAATAGATAATATTGAAACTGAAAGTTTACAGCTGAAAACCAACTTACAATCGTTGACAGATACAGTGACAGGTTTGCAAGATTCACAGAAAGAAAACTTTGAAAGTGTTGAAAGTGTGAAGACTGAAATCAGTGATATTCAATCCTGTATGGGTCATTCTCGGTCAGAAATTGCTAAATCTTCAAACAAAGTAACTCAATTAGAAAGTCGTTTAGACAATTTGTCACTCGACGTATATGGCAATGAGAGTGATTTAAACGATATGCAATCAGAAATAATATATGCTAGAACTGAAATAAACCACACGAACGCAAATGTAAATAGTGTGAAGAATGCATTAAAGGAGACACAAGAAGCACTTCAAAAAAGTACTCTTAATCTTCAGAGTACTAAAGCTGACTGTGCTAAAAATACAGCTGATATTGCCAACATCAATAAATACCTATCGTATGTCAGACCAAGTGGAAAAGTATTTTTTTATCCCCCGGACAGGATTTCTACTTTTGTAAGTCGAGAGGAACAATTGGAACAATTGAGAGATAGATTTAACATTCATAGTAGTGACACACATACACAAGTAATTTGTGGATTAGGGGGAATCGGGAAAACAACACTGGCTGTAGAATATGCATGGACCTTTCAAACATTTTATCCTGGAGGTGTGTTTTGGATGTCAGCGGAAACAAATGAAGCATTGGAAGATTCAGTCCAACGTCTTGCTATAGATATAAATATTCTCGGAAATAATACTAAAGAAACGCTCGTTAAAACACTTAAATGGTTGTCCTGTGTTCAAGAGAGTTGGCTCCTTGTTATCGACAACGTGGACATGGATGAAATTCAGGGAAGTGTGAATGAAATACTCTCACATTGGAAAAGGGGTTCAAAGGGGCATATCATTATCACTTCTCGGAGAGAAGCAGAGGACGCAAAAGAGACATTCAATGTGAGAGTGGAGGACTGCATCTCTTTGGATATTTTAAATAGAAACGAAAGTGTAAAATTTATGATGATACGTTCATGTCATAGTGGTAAAATTGACGAAAGTCTCATAGAATTAGCAGATGAGCTTGGTGGACTTCCACTCGCCTTGGAACAAGCGGCTGCTTATATAAAAGCTATACACTGTTCATTTGATGAGTATCTGAAGAAATTTAATAGGAAGAGACTAGGTGTCCTCAAAGCAATAAGACCACAACATGAAGTGTCGAAAGAACGTTTAGCGGTACGAACAACTTGGCAATTGAACTTTGAATATATTCAAAAACAATCTGAGGAACATGGACTTGGAAATTCAGCAATAACTGTGATGGAAATTGTGGCCTTCCTATATGCTGACGATATCCCGATGATTCTTTTAAATGTTGGTTCGCCAAACGTTCTTGACGAAGAACTACTCGACACTTTTGAAGAAGAATTAGGAATCAAGCAAGTTGCCGAAATACTATCACGATTTTCTTTGTTTAACAGATGTAGCACTAATAGCATGAGTGTGCATCGATTAGTTCAGGAAGTAATTCGACAGAATATAAAAGATGCAGAGAGAAATGCTTTCATCCTACAGTGTGCATCACGAATGGTCAATATGGCGTTAGAAAACACACAATCGCCAACGGATGCATTACAAGAGGAAAATATAGGGAGAGCTTCCTTACAAATGTGGAGTAAGTTAGCACTTAATGCAAATACTCTAAAAACTTATATGTTTGACTACACAAAAAGAAATGAAACATTGAAAGACATCTGCTTTAACATAGAAACAACAAGAATTTTACAAACTAGTGCAATATATCACAGTCTGTACCAAAGGCAGGACGAGGCCTTAGCATGCCAGGAGCAAATGCTGAGTATTATACCGGCTCTTACAATGTCAGAACGTGACTACAATTATCTAACTAGAATTAAGATACCTCTTCTACAGAATGATAGACTTATTCTTCAAAGTAGCATAACAATGGCTATAGCAGCAGAATCAGTTGCATCGTCAGATCCTAGTCAAGACCAAACTATCGCACTTTTAGATACAGAATCGTTGCACAAGATGGGGAATGATGCATTTAAGGAAGCAAGATACCAAGTTGCAATACAATGTTATTCTGAGGCGATCACAGCAAGTAATGGAAACATTGACATAGCAAAGTATCTTACGAACAGAAGTCTGGCATACTTTAAAATATGCGACTATGAGAATGCTTTACGTGATGCAGATAAGTGCATACAAATCGACCCGAAATCATACAAAGCCTATTGTTGGAAAGCATATGCAATAGGAAATCTCATACGTCTTGAACTTTTACCCAAATCCTGGGAGTCTGCCGGATTAGCTGCTGCAGCTGTTGCTGGACACCTTAACAAACATTGCTTACTTGAATACAGGATGAAAATTGAATATCCGGTGGTAAGATACAAAATTATCACAAACAAATCTGAACTTGGTAATGAGATATCGTCCATGATGAATAGGACTTATACAACTTTACTTCTGCGTAGAGGCAGATACCAAATTGCGCTTGATAAAGGGGAGATCACTACAAAAAGTGTTCAAGTAATTGGAGTTGAAGATGGTGTTGAAATTGAAAGTGCAATGGGCATTGCTTTGATAAATCCGAAAAAATACCTGCCCGACATTAAGATCGAGCAAGAAATAAAAATCTATTTTGAAAATGTCTCTTTTACAAACGAGACAGGTCAAATATTAGTAAGTGCTAATGTAAATGCAATATTTTATAGATGTAGATTCTCAAACGGTAAAAAGGGATGCGAAGACTTTCCTTCTTGTGACGGTAAAAACGGCTGTGTTAATTCAAATCCTGACGAATGTAATTATTTGTTTTCAGAACAAAGGAAAACGTCGTTCCCAAAATCGAGTGGAATCACTGGATTCCCAGGTATCAGTGTATGTCAAAATGGCAATACATTGTTAGATAATTGTGTTCTTGATAGGTGCGGTGGTGGTGGAACTTTAAGTATTCGAGGGGCTGTATTGAAGATAAAGAACAGTGTAATTCGTAATATGAGACAAATGGGCATTGAAGCAAGAGAGGGGGGTATTACCTTTGCTGAAAATTGTACAATTTGTGACAATCAGTTTCACGGGGTGGCTATAGGGCCAAAAGGTAAAGGACATGTAAAAAGTTGTATCATACAAAATAACAAAAGAGAAGGCATCTGGTGTGGAGGCAACCTGGAACCAAAAAAGAACTCAAGTTTGAAAATAATCTCAAAATCAGGAGGTGGGTCCACATGCGAGATATTGAATAATTTGATCTATCAAAATGGTATGTCAGGAATTTCATTAGATGGTGGGTCATATGATGTATCCGGAAACAGAATTTTTGACAATTGGCTTTGGGGAATGATGATAAAATCTCGATCAACAACACATATTTGCAACAACGATATATTTGAGAATAAATGCGGTGGTATAAGAATTGGAGTAAACTATTCAGCTGTAGTCGTATTAGATGGAAATTCCATCCGGGATCATACTGGCCCTGCTATTCACACAGAAGAAATTGCGTCTGACGTAGATACTTTTATGAGATCACAGCATTCAAGTGATAACCATGAAACGATGAAAGATATAGGCATGTTAGATGATGAGATCATTTTTTATTCAAACTTACCTATTATTACTACAAGAAATGTATTTGAGAAAAACAATAGCGGGAAGCAACATCCAAATAAAATATCAGTCCTTCTTGAAACGTGTTGTTTTTGCCATGTAAATTCCAAACATTTGAAATACTGTGGAAAATGTAAAAAAGCAAGCTATTGTTCAAAGGAGTGTCAGGAACAACACTGGAAACGACACAAGGGTGTATGCAAACTCATTGTTGAAAAATACACAATAGACATTAAAATGTCAGATACAGAGAAATGGAACGAATTTCTGTTTGATCCTGGAATGATAGCATTCCGAGGAAGAAATGCTCCATTACCAGGTTTAGGTGAAGGTCTACCACCAGACAAATTTAGTGAAAAGAGATTTATTGTGAAAATCCAGTCAGGGCACGAATATACTCCCTATAATCCTAACAAAGATTTAAGACTGTATGACCAAACACAGACGTTAGATATATTTTTCAGAAGTCCTGAAATCTATCATTTGGTTTGTGAGTGCGGAGTTTTAGCTGCATCAAGATTGACAACAAAGAAAATGTTTTGCTGGGCTTCTTTTAAAAGCAAAGGCAGCGTAATCCGCATCTACACAGACAACTTACCCCCTTTTCAAACATGGTAAAACTGGTACTTTTTGTGTACACTGAAT